TTTATTACTTATTACTATTTAAAAAATACTGCTTTTTATTACCATTTTTGGAAACGTTCCTCTTCAGTACTGGACAGTCTTCAAGAAGCTTCAGGTGGTCACCTTATCAAAAGCTGAGAGGTCGCATTATGGCACGTGCACAGCCTGATTAATCAACTCCTGAGAGGAAAAAAAGGGCTTGAGGGTGTTTCTGCCTTGCTAGAAAACCACCATAGACCAACAACTGGTCACCAGCAAAACCAGCAAATGTTGTGCTTTGGATGCTGGGATGCTGATCAGCAGCAACTGAAGTTGTTGGTCTGATCACCTGAAAAATGCTGGTTGACTGGGGAAACCAGGACCGGATCAGCACAAGACCAGTAAAAGACAGCGTAAACCATCTTAGACCATGCACTCCATGCTGGACTGTACTGTTTTTTCAGCAGGGTGCTTCTATACGGGCTGTCTATTTTTAGAAAAACTGTGAAACGTTTTCCCGCCAAATGTCAGCACCACAACAGAGTGCTTTTCAATGTTTTTAGTACAAATGGCAAACAGCGTGTTCTGTTTGACCGGAAGCTTATAATATGGATTGAATTTAACAAGAAAATGAATTCAGAACGCAACAGTGATAAACGCTATGTAAGGTTTTCTCTAAATCCAGAAACACTTAGATTAGGTTTCTCAGACCTTTTTCCCGTGGACTCTTAGAGTGACTTGTGTTTCAATCGAAAGAAGATTCGTTTGGATATGAAAAAAAGCTCAAGTGACAAGATCATTTTGTAATTCAGTAATGGATAATGAATAAAATTGGTGTTTGATTTGTCCCAAAATATACTTAATAAACTCTATTAGCTCAGTACATTTAGCAACCAATTTGCATGTGAAAGTGTGTTATGACAGTAATAAACCCTTCTCCAGAAATTCACTGCCGGGAGCTAAAAATGCGACACCTCTGAATGAAGAACAGCGTTTCCTTGTGACGGAGTTACTGTTTTTAACTAACCTGGCCAAAGTCAGGTAGTGAAGCGTCTGTAAAGCTAGTTTAAAAAGTGCTGCTGTTGAACGTTGAACGAAATAATTCTGCGTATTTTGATGATAAAAAAAAGGAATTGTGTAGCCAAGCCAATCAAATCATGATTTTGGATGTCTGGACAGGAGTCTTTAGAAAACTGTGGTTCCAGTCGGAGCAGAGCACTTTGGATTAAACACTAAATAAGCCAAAATTTGCAGTACATGTTTCCATTTTTGCTTTTAACCAAAAAATAGCGTAATTGGCAAAACAACAGCTGAGAAGTGCCTGAGAAGTATATTTAAACAAGCAAATACTGCTTAAATATGTGACTATAAATATGTTTAAATATATTAAACATTCAAATGAACATTGTGCAGAATATAAACGAATTGATACAAAAAATTAGATGATTTTAATATTTAGATTAATTTCACGTCAATGGGCTGCTACTCCATTGCGCTCTCCACACATCAGTTTGAATCCCATCCTCCTCGATAAACCCTGCGAAATCTTAGTGCTTAAAGTCCTTAAATAAAAAAAGAATTAATAGAATGTGTTTGCAGTCAAAACCTGCTGCCTCTGGCCCTTTGCAGATAAAATCAAAAACTCCTTGTTTACAGGTTAATTCTTGACACGCCTTACTTTAAATAAACATATTTCACCAAAAAATAAATCATTAAAAAAAACTGAAGGTTAAGAAGAGCCACATAGAAATCCCCCTTTCACTATCTCACCTAACACAGATATTTTTACGGGGTTTAAACACTTCAAACGGGGTGACTTACAGTCTTAAAAGCGAAATTTACGACGAGGATGGGATTCGAACCCACGCGTGCAGAGCACAATGGATTAGCAGTCCATCGCCTTAACCACTCGGCCACCTCGTCGTTCTTTGTTCCCTTACAAAAGTGTTTTTTTTTATGAGACCTCGCAGTTCCTGTGCTTTTAAAACTACATTTATGACAAGTCAAATACCAGGAAACCAAATACAAGCTGGAACATCTAAGCTTACAAGCTTGCTTGCCATGTTACCTCCTTCCCACAGAACTAACTGTCTTGACTTTCATGTCAAACTAAAGACCGTCCTGCCCCCTCTGAGGTCTGAAAGAGGACATTGAAACCTCTTCAGTCAAGATGGGGTTTGAACCCAACATGAACAGCACAAAGGATTGATAGTTCATTGCCTCTGTACACTTAATCAGTTGGTCTCGGGCACCTCTGACAATTTGTCTTTATTCTTAGGCATGTTAGTTGTTGTCTACCTCCTACTAGCACAGAAGTAGAAGTGAAGGGAGAGTTGGAAGGTCAGAGGTGACATTTAGGGGAAGTTTTTTTTTCTTTCTGCATAATTCAGTCATCTATATGTCATTCTAAATGGTTTAATGTAAAATGGTGCGTTGTTTAGAAATGCTACTTATTTTACTCCAGTTTCTTTACTGTGGTGGTAGTAGGAACCAGAAGTTAAGATGTCTGTGTTTATTTAAATCAGTATTTCTTGCTCCTAGTGACCCACAGTTCTGCACAGTTTCACACTCACTTTACGAGCTCAGGCATTCTGCGGTTCTTTCGACGTGCAGCGAATCATTTTGTCTTATGAGTGTTAGTAGTAGAGAGTAGCAGCAGAAAACCCTTAAAGTCCGAAACAGAAGATTGATTAAGTCTAAAATTCCCACTACCGACGAGGATGGGATTCGAACCCACGCGTGCAGAGCAGTCCATCGCCTTAACCACTCGGCCACCTCGTCGTCGACAATCGGGCTGTTTTTCACAATTATCCAACTTTTCTACCCTTTTCACTTCAGCTGCTGTATAGGATTATTATTTTTTTCACATTTACAGTCTTTTCTATAATTCGTCTTTAACTTCAGTCTTTATTCTTACAAAAGTGTCTCTGTCTAACATACAGTTGTCTTGTCTGTGCTTGGTTACTTTCACATTTGTTACTCTCAAATGTGAACTCTACTCTCATTAATAGTTTTCTGTCACTTTCAAATTGGCTGCACAAGTTCATTGTCTTTACCACATTTACAGTCTTCTTCAACTTACAACAAACACACTTGAAATGAGGCACATTGTCTTTATTTTTGCAAAAGTGTCTCCATCTAGTCAATAAATTTTCATGCTTTTCTGTCACTTCCAAATAATCTGCTCTTCAAATTAATTTTCTTTACCACATCTACAGTCTTTGCCATCTTCTCGGACTTCTTTTCAACATAAACACAACATTGCCAATTCATCTATAGGTTACTTCATTTTTAATTTGAAGGAATATGAAGGAGTTTGACTCAATGGTAACAGGTATATGCCAAGCACTTTAGCATTAACATTCACCCATTTTCATTTTTCACATATCCACATGTTGCACTCTGCAGTCATACTTCAATTAAATTGTGCCTTTGAAATCTATCCTATTCAATAACCGAGGTAAATTGGCTTGGCTAATGGAGCTTCTAGATCTGTGAGTAGGCTAGCAGTCGCCTTGGGGATTCTCAGTAAATGTATGACGTATTTTCATAATGCATGATAGGTATGATAGTGAGCAAACTGTGATGGATGAAAATGCAAGAAGGAAACAAAATGATAAATTCTGTCGAAATGATCAGACCAAGGGATGCAGTGCTGCACTACAGTCAATTGCATAACATTACTAATAACATATGAAACTCTAGTTTGAGGCCAGAAAGCTGCTTTAAGCTTCCCTGAACATAGATTGGTAGTCTCTAACCCTGGTCCTGGACCTTCCTGCAGAGCCTAGTTCCAACCACAATATGCAACACCTGCTCAACCTTCCCAAGTCCATGATTGTCTGGAACAGTAAGGGATAGCGTTAAGTAAGGGATGGACAGCTTATTGGATTCAGTTTGGAACTGAACTCTGCAGGAATGTAGCTTTCCAGGACCAGGGATGGAGATCAGCGATGTAAACCTTCATACAGAGTTCACAAGGTCTTAAAACTGATCTTGGCAACAATTAATTAATAATAATAATAACAATTAATTATGTTAATAAGCTAATGGATATTATTGAACAATGCTCAATGAAGGCCCGTTTTGGTACTAAGATAGACAAGTAGGCCTATGTTTAGGCCCTAAATCTTTCTTTAACTAATTTACTCAGAGCTTCATACAGAGTTCGCATGAGGCATTTCATGAATCTTCTACAATGTCATGCAGCAAATCATTTTTTATTACAAGGTGTTCAGGTGTTGGTTGATAACCAGCAAGATTGAAAGGGTCTTAAAGCCTACCTTGTCAGTGAGGACAGGATTCAAACCCAACCGTGGACCAGAAGTCCATTGCCGTAACCACTCAGACACCACATCTCTGTAACACCACTAACGAGGTGGGGTGTAAGCCTAACTAGCCAAGGTTATCTTCCCTAAATGTTTTTGTCACTTTTGTCACAAATGACTTGCTCTTCAATTTAATTTTCTTTATCACGTCTGTAGTTTTTTCCAGCACGATTAATAGACTTTCAAAAGCTGCCTTTGTCAACCAGGATGGGATTCGAACCCACGCATGCAAAGCACAATAGATTAACAGTCTGTCGCCTTAACCACTTGGCCACCTCGTCCACTTGAACTGTCATGCTGTGTAGACTGTAAGATCTATGCTATTTTCCATGACTTAGTCTTGCAATTAATCCACTGTAATCAAATCCTTATTCATCTCTCTCTCTCTCTCTCTCTCTCTCTCTCTCTCTCTCTCTCTCTCTCTCTCTCTCTCTCTCTCTCTCGACTGATAGGTAAAGTAAGATGTATGGTGTTTTGTTTGCGTTTCTTTATTTCACTGAAGTTCTCAAAATCACTCATCATTCTGAATTTTAAGTCATGTAGGCAGAACACATGGCCTAAGCACCACTTCGGTAACCACTTATATCTCCCAGTCTCTTTAAACTCTTTACCATGAAGCACTTCACTAAATTGTGTAGGCTGACAACATTTGGGAGGTCCTCACTCACAAAAGTTTCAGTTCTCCTTTTCCTTCACTGTAAGTATTTCTTACAGTTCAGACTTTGGTCTCACTTCTCTTGGTGCCTTTGGATCAAGATGTTGAGCCCAGGGATAGATATCAACATTTTGGGTAAGGTGTATGGTGTTCCTTTCCTCACTGTGCATTAGTTTGGAGATGGTTCCATTGGCAGATGTATCGGGTTTTATGTGTGTTCATTTTTTCATTGCTTTTTCATTTTTTAAAAACCTAGCACAATCAGACCAACCCCGAAATGAATGCATTTCATCTTCAGTGATACGCACTAATTTGCATTCTAATACACTGACGTGCAGTTTGTATGCACTGTCACAAATAATGTATGCCTTTTAAATGTAAAAAGTGTTACAGCTAATTCCATTAGAGCAGTGATGACTGTGTAATGTGGCCTGTGATGGTCTGGTTAAAATGCAGAGAAAATGAACGGAAATTTCACTTTCAGTTCAGGGGTCATTTGAAGTCTGATTTTTTTTTCCATGGTGATGGTTTTAATATGTCATGTTTGAAACTAAACCAATTATGAATGCTGAATAATGCAACATGCAAAGAATGATTTAACTAGACTTGGGATGGAGGAAGCTGCCTTTGTTTATTGTCTTTATTTATCTGGAGCTAAGAAGGTAAGGAAGTGCTTTTCTGAAAGTGTACTGGGCTTTTGAGGCCAAATGTCCGTTTTAGTTTCATTTCCTTAGCTCGCATACAATAAATGACAGTTTTTATTCCTCAGTTTGTCATAAAGCGGAATAAAGTTGAGTATTTAAGCATGCACATCATAAAGAAAATACATATCGTTGCTGTCCAAAGAAAAACATGTATCTCCAAAACAGTAACTTTACAGGAGAAGGCAAAAACATTCCTTTTTTTAATGTAAGTCAATGGAAAGATTTTTTATTCCAAGCAATTTTGGGGCATTTCTGTTGGTCTGTTCATCATGAAATTCCCACTCAATGTGAAGGACAGCTGACTTGTTCAAATGATTTAGAAAAGTAAAAAATGTGAAAAATGGAGATGCATGTTTTTCTTTGGATAGTGCCGAAATACTTGTTAACACTGGTCTGTAATCATTCATATATAAACTGTCCATCAAATTGTGATAGTGCTGTATTTATTTTTTCTAAATCTTTAACCTTTTTTATGTTTCCCAAGACTCTGAGGATGAGAGCATCACATCTTCAGAGGATGAACGAGATATTCAGGTGCTTTAACATGTTATTTCTATAAACAAGGATTTTACTTTGTCTTACTAAAACTAGGCTACTTACTAATCAAAACACAATACACAGTCTTAAAAGTAAAGGTTCCTGAATGGTTCTTGGCTTGGACATATTCATTGTTGTAGTACTATTAACTTATGCTGAACTTCTTTAAACTTTGAAATGCCCTCGCATCTCATTTATAGAAACAATGCAGAACCATCCCTTGAAAGGTTTTATAGGGTATCAGAAGTGGTTATTCTACAGCATCAATCTTAAGAGCCCTTTCTGGCACCTTTATTTTTAAGAGTGCAGCTACAATCCCAGTAATGCATTATTAACACTATGGAGTTTAGCCCTATTTCACCAGTTATAAATATCTTTTGCAGGTTGAGATTTTGGAGAAGCAACGAGATGAAGCCAACCAGAGACTGTCTAAAATGGAAGAAGGTGAGACAATGTTTTTGGGCACATGTAGTATCTCTGTAAACCACTTTCTTGCACTCCACATAAATAATCCAAGTGCAAGATGTGAAAAAGATGCGGTGTCTTCATCTAATGAGTGTTCAAGTCGTGTCAAACTCCAGCACCAGAAGGTTACATGACTGGAGAGTCTAGGGTTTTTTCCTGCTCTAACAGAGCTGATTCAGCGTGCTATATAACTAGCTGATGAATTGAATGAGGTTTGTTATTAACAGAAAACTCTTATACTTCTATTTCAGAAGAACAAACTCTGATTTTTCTGTTTCAGTAGAATGAAATTCCATTAAAACTATAATTTTGTGGGCTATCCAATCTTCCAACATTATCAGAAGCCCTGTATTATTTGTAATTTCTATCTAATGCACCTTTTTTTCTGCACTTATTCTCAACAGCCTCCTCTCAGCTGTTGAAGGAGATAGACGTGCTGGAGATGCAGTTTGAGATTGAACGCTCTTGTAGAGAGAGTGCCGAGGCTTTTGCTTTAAAGGTGAGTTGACCACTCTACCACTGTTATCAAAAACTTTGTTGTAATTGTACAGTATCATTTACAATAGCGTGCTGTTTTCTTATATAACAGTATGATACTGTATTGTGGTATGACTTCTGGGAGTTAATGTCCCTTTCCAACTCTCATGGGTGAAGTTATAAGAGGAGGAGTCAGTCAGTCAGTAGGTCGTTGTGCCTCCTCAGAGACCACCCTTCATTTATTTTATTTCCAGTCCAAATAGTCTTTAAGTTTTTTTTAGCTTCAGTTAATTTTTGTGTCATTTTTAGCAGAAAATCACACAAAAATCTTAACTAAACTTAATAACTAACATCACATTTTTCAGTGTTTATTGTGTCCACTCCTTACCTTTATTATAACTTCCATCCTTTATAGAGAGTTTGCTTTCAGATTTTCCAAGAGATCTTTATTTTTCCTCACCTCCAACGTTCAGTCTTCAAAGTTTGTGGCATTTTCTGCTTTTCATGATCCACAAAATCCCAAACTCGTTCAGTGATGCTAATTTCTAGACTCTGGGGTGGTCAGTCCATTGTTCTGAGGACAACAGCAGCTTCTTGACAGCTACACATCCTTTCAGGCTCATAGTGTTGAGTTGTCTTCTCAAAGTGGAAGGATGGACAGAAACACCTGTGGATGTTTTCAGATCTGAAGAGTGGAGCTTGATTTTTTTCTCTTTCTCAAAGATGAGGGTTTAAACTGATCATTTACTAAACACCAGTTTTGAAAACTTAAGTTTTTCCATATATTTTCTTTAGTTTTCCCTTCTTTATGCAAGTAGATTATCTTATAACTAATCTCTTCAGAAATTCAAAATGAATAACTTGTATTTAATGGCTGTTTTGACTGGAAATTAAATAAATGAAGGGTAATTTGACTTATGCAAAGTTTTGTAGTCTGTGGAGGGTAGTTGTGAGAGGTGGAATCAGTGAATCAGTAGGTTGTGTTCTAGTAGAGTTATTTGCACCCCCATTAGTCATGTCAGTGGTGCAAGGCTCTCAGGGAAGCAGGCCCTGACGCAACCACACAGTTGGCTTTGTAGTAGTTCCACAAGGGAGTTTCGTGCCAGCTGTAAATGTCACCTACAGTTGAACGGATCTAGACTCCTCAGATTCAGCAGGGTTAATAGTAGTGGGAGGCAGGGGTCCTTCATTGCTCATTGTCACAGTCACCTCTTTGACTTGCTTTGTTTTTAAGATATCAATTGTTTATGCTGCTTTTATCACAGAAAAATATTGAAAATAAAGCCTTTACTGTTCATATACTGCTAATCAGCATACTGCATATTTACAATAGTTACTGTAATTCTAATACTGTAAATGTATAATACATCATCTTATACTTCAGTACTGTAAGACAGCTGTGACAGTAACCTAATGTAAATTTTGACATTTTTGCACAGTATATGTCTCTTCACAGAGAAAGACTGCTGATCCAGGGTTTTCTTCTTTGCTTACATTATAATACATGCAGTTACCTCTAACACTTAAAGGCTGCTTCTTTGTTTAAAGGGTCAAAAGGGCAAGAACATTATGATATGAACCAGAACATATTTTAGTAATGCTTAAAGCAAAGGCAAAGTGGTCCTAGAACCTGAGGTCAGAGGGCTTTTCTGAGATATTTATGCACAAGGATCCTGAACAACAGTAACATTTTGGTAACCTAGGCCATTACCTCTATTATGTCAACTGCAATATTGTTTCCTGCTGTGATGCTCTTGTCCTTTGGGCCCTGCAAACCCAGCAGCAGCCCTTTAACAGTTGGAAGTAAGCACTGCTGCTGAGGTCTGCTCACTTCATGGCTTATTCACAATATATAACCTTTGAAATTACAGGTGACAAAAGAGAACAAAGTCTTAAAGAGAAGAAGCCAGGCCCTCCTGCCCCTGATCCCAGAGCTGCCTGAAAAGCTTGCTGCTCTGAATGCTGACCTGGAAGACGACCCTGGCTCTGACCTCAGCACTTCAGCAGAAACTGAAGAAGATCCCCTAGTCAAAAGTCAGGCCCAGATCAGAGGTAATCCTCCAGTCACACACACTACAGATATATTAGCAGCCTTTAACAAGTGAGATAAAACATTACAAATAGCCAGTAATAAAAACCAAAACCAGTCATATGCATCAGAGGTAATAGCATCTGAAACCATGAGTTTTGTCCACACTTTACTATGTCAAAAACCACATAACCAAGGCTATTTTGGGCAAATGTGAGGATCTAGACACACGGTTTTCATGATGCTAATTGATGAGGTATAGGTTTCCATTACTTGTTAGCTAGATTTGCCTTTTCATCCCAGTGAAAAACTAAGGAAGCTTTAAATATCAAACTATATTTGGGGTAAAGTTTCATTTTAAGTATGTATGTCTAATGTACAGCTCATATGTGCTCTAAAGTAAATCCACAGCTGTCTGAGGACCCCCAGTTTTACTTTATGTAACATGTAAAGGTATAGTCAAACACAACAAATCTATCTAGCTAGCTTCTGGTAGCACTTGCTTGAACATTTATACAGACTGTTACATAGTTAAAAGAACAATTCTGCTATTTTTTATGCTATATAACAGTGTGCTCATCAGTCACACCATGAACTGGACATCACATTATAGCAGTTACTGCACTGATACCATCAAGACTACAAAGACTGCAGTAACCAAATATCTATTACTTAGAACATGAATGAACTAGTTACTGAAATACAAACACACCATCATGTTTAGAACACCAAAACATGTACAATGAATTGAATTGTATCTTTGTGGTAGACATGACTTTTTTTAAAATGAATTGTAGATGAAAAAATAAAAACTAATTAACAAAACACAAAGAATGCTGGGAAACTCCACCGCTGACACTACAACATTCAAAGACTGCTTAATGTACTGGTCACTTTCCCAACGTTTGCAAATAACAACTAATCACCGTAAAATCTGACATTTTAATTTCTTTGTCAAGGAGCTTGACCTGTTTCTCCCAGAATGCACCAATGTTTACAGCAATCTGCTGTATTTTAGTGATACAATGGATTGCTGCAGTATTTCCACTTTAAATTTACATCACTTATTTACAGTGCAATGTTTGATATAACATCTCCTGTGCTGTTTCATGAATGTTTTAGTGACTAAAATGTTGTCTTCTACATGCTACAGAATGTTGTAATCTCATTATTTATTGATTATTTGTCCTCTCCTGTCAGAGCTACAGTCCTCAGTGGATCAGCTTTTGGGTGAGAAGATGCAACTGTGCGAGCAGATAGAGGTCTTGAAAAAAGAGAAGGAGGAACTGAAAGAACAGGTACAGAACCGAGCTGAGAGATAGTGGGGGAAGGTGTATGAGTTATTACTAATATGGTTCATATGGGAGTTTTATCTTCTCTGAGGAAGTGAAATGTGTTTTGTTGTAACAGCTTGCAGCAGAGGTCGAGGAGAAGGAGGCCATTCTACGGAAATTAGCTAAGCAGAGTCGAACGGTGAACAAGATGAAAAGGGGTGAGTTCAAACACACCTCTGTTAGCCATTTAAACTACCAGGACCTGCTAGCCAGTCAAAGCATTTGCATTGTTGTCCATGTATTTACTGAATTTGCCAAACCTCATTCATACAACTACAGAAGCATAAAGTCCAGAACCAGCTGGTTCCAAGACAGTTTCTTCCCTCGGGCCATCAGGCTGCTAAAAAGCCAGTAGTGCTTGTGTATTGGTCTATGGGCCTGTCACTACACTTCTGAATCATCATCATCATGATCTTTGTGAACAATCCACACTGTATCCACATCTCATTTATTCATCTACCTCAGACTCACAAATTGCACATATGGAAATGTGTACAACTGTACATATCATAGTTTTATTTATTATACATTGGAAATACAGGGCAATACTAGTGTATATTAATGTGTATATTGTGTATATGTATATATATTTAGAGTCTAATGTGTATATATTTCTTTTTTCTTTTCTTCACACACACACACACACACACACACACACACACACACACACACACACACATATATATATATATATATATATATATATATATATATATACATATATATGCTCCACTCTTGCAGTTTCTAAATTGTAAGCCTTTAAGTTTAAGAAGTAAACATGTTTGAAATAAAATATGTGTTGTTTTTTCTGTGTTTCTCTCTCTGTTTCTGTAGTGTCCCAACTTGTCACAGAAGAATTTGCAGAAATGTCCCAGAAGCTGGAAATAGAGCAGGGGCTCAGGCACCATGCTGAGATTTTTGCACACCAGGTACCGTCAGCCTATATTACCTGTATTGCACAGATCAGATCTCTGGGTGGGCTGTATCTGGGACTTTGGCTAGGTTTTTGCCAATTTTAAAAGATATCCATTGCATGTTTAGTGCAATTGGTTCATGTCATTTCACTACATCCCAAAAAAAAATTGTGATGCTCGGTTTACAGTTTAGTCTTCTCACAATATTTTGAGCGAAGAAGCTCAAGTGAGATGTTGATTGGCACCAATTGTTTGACAACTTTGGCGTTTAAACAATGCAGTTATGATAATGCATTAGATGGCATAGTTAACAGAATGTTCATCTGCATGATGTATGTTGTCATAATTTTGCATTATGATACTGCAATGCCACAATGCATTGTTTCACCCCTACTGGTTACTACATTTAACTGCTGAAGCTTGGCCTGACCTATCAGATATGTTGCACTATTAATATATAAGTCACTGTTGGACCAAAACCCAGTATTACTGAATTGGGAACTGTACAGGGGAAGGAAAAAAAACTAAACTAACCTCTGAACTATTAGGGTCAGGTTCCTAGACTATTAAGAGCGATTAACCTTAATCCTGGACTACATCAATGAAGAATCTTCTTTCAAAATGCTGTGCAGTCAAGCTTAATTCCTGTCCAGGAAGCCTTAATGTAAGTCAAAGTGACAAGATATCATTCCAAGTAATTTTTAACTGTTACTATGGGTCAGTATTGCTAAATGTTCACACAGTGTAAAAAGCAGCTTACATGTTCAAATTACACTTCGAAAATTTTATTCAACCTTAATAAATACTGTTAATGAGCCATTGTTTCAGTTGAAATATTTTTCAATTGTGTTACTAAATGAAGTCATTTTTAGGTTGAACAAAAAGTCTTTTACAATATTTGTAAAAAACAACAATGGAAATGCAAAGTTTTGTCCCAACAGCAATGATATTTAAAGACTCTGGCTCTCAGCTAATGGGAGATTTCCTCCTCATAGAGTTGTGGGTTTTTTTAACACCTGCTCCTACTTATACTTGTTCCACTTGTAGAACCCAGTCGTGGAAGAAAGGGGAAATGGCCTGGGTCATTAGAGTGTCTGTTCAGTAGATGTATAATAGTGGAAAGTAAGCATGGTGTCTTTGATTTAACTGAGTGTACAGACAAGAGACAAGATGTCTGGGATGGGCCTACTCATTTCCCACTGAGACTGTGGAGCTCAAATGGTCAAACAAACACAAACAAAAAGGACACTGAGACACACACACACACACACACACACACACCAACACACACACACACACTTACTTAGCCTGCATCTTCTGCAGCTGCCTGCCTCTATTAACGCCAGTTGTTTTGGCATTTATTCTCACTCTAAGTGAGCATCTCAGTATAGAAGCTGGCATCCCCCCACCTCCACCCCACCATAATTAGCACCCATCAAGATGGCAGTTTGAAAACAGCAGCGATTTAAACCCCTGTCCTTGGCTGACACTTTATATCCGCCACCATCATTGTCGCCTTTGTCCATATTGTTCACCATTTGCAGATGGCATAATGGAGACCCCGCGGGGGGTCTTCACCTGTGAAAGAGACCCCTACTGTTCACACCCCACTCAGTCTCGCTCTCAAAGGCCGGCCACACACCAAACAGCTTGAATGAGGCTCTTTATGGCTGGCCCCGTCCATTTATCTGTTTTCCTCTGTTTTCAAAACACATTCATTTTCTTACATGTATTTTTTTTTGTCACAAAGAGTCTAATGATGGCCTAACTCAAACAGAAAGCAAATACGGGCTTGTCTGCGCACAAAGAGCTGCAACCATTCACTTGTCAAAACCGTCCTCTTTCTCTCTAATTGTGATGCTGTGGGAGTGGTTGAGCACTGCAACTCTTGTGGCATGAGATAAACTAAGAGCTGTTCATGTATGTAAGAAGTGAAAGGTACCGTGATCCGAAACCCATCAGAGATTCACTTCCAGGGTATTCCCTCAGTTCCCTCTTTTCGTTTGAAAAACTAAAAGACTCTGTTATAAACAAAGCATGTGATCTTTGTGAGTAGAGTGTAGCAGTGTCATAAAGTCATTGGAGTTTTTTCCTGATCTGTTTCAATAAAGCAAACACTCGCATCATTTACACAATCAACCAATCTAACTGAATCAATGACTGGTCAGACATATAGTACTGAGAAAACATCAGAGACCACCCTTTCAGTTATTTCATTTCAAGGAAATCTGCAGGGATACTTTTCCACACCTCCAAAGTTCAGTCTCAGAAATTGGATGCATTTTCTGCTTCTCACAATCCAAATAACTTCAAACACATTCAGTGATGTTGAGGTCTGGACTCTGGGGTGGTCAGTCCATTGTTCTGAGAGCAGCACCAGCTTCTTTGTTGGAGTTATAGATTTTCTTCTTTTTTGTCTATTTTCTTTTCTCAGCAACAGGTTCTTGAAAGCTGCACATGCTTTCAGATTCAAAGAGTTATATTGTCTTTTCAAAGGGAAAGGATGGACAAAAACACTTGTGGAGACTTGTTGGGTACCTGAAGTTTGCTTCTTGGGTTTTGCTCTGAAGCTACAAAGCTAATGTAGCTAACAAAAATGGAATGATACATTTCTCTGTTTAGCATCATGTAAACTGCATGTTCAAATCATCACACACTACTTGACCATCATGTCAGGTTGTTATTTGCTCATGTGATTTCTGACTGTATGACATTCTATTATGTAAGAACAAATCTTGCATAGCTAAAACAGTAGCAGCAACCATCTTGCAGCCTGCATAACAGCAGGCCTGTGTTATATATTGTCAGAAACCACATAAGCAAGGTTATTTTAGATTACTTGAGACAGCTCAGTGTGGTTTGAGGCAAGTGTGTGATAATTTAGGTATGCAGTTTGCATGATGATGACGGGTGCACAGGTTATTTTACTTGTTAGCAACATTAGGCTCATGCAAAACTAAAGAAATGAACTTTGGATGCCACACGTGTCTTGCCTGAATGACTAAATTTGAAGTAAGGAAAGAAATGTTCATATTTGATCAGTTTAATGGTAACTCAATTGGTAGGTTGTTTGTAAATGTGCGGTTGTAGGTTTTGGTGAAGCAGAGGGAGAGCCACAGGCAGAGCATGGCCATTGTGCAGACTTCCGAGACGGATGCACAGCTCAAGCAGGCCCTGGAGCAGGTGGCTCAAATCAGCAAAGCACTGGAGGAGATACGGCTCCATCACCAACAACAGGTGTGGGTGTGTGTGTTTGTATGTGTATTTATATTTAAGGGTGAATTAAGATTGTAAGGGCTGTGTGCTTTCTTAATGCACTCAATTAAACACAACTTCTTTTTTATTTCTCTTTCATCCCATGGGTTGCTCCCATTTTACTTCCATTGCCATGTTTACCTGCTTACATGAAGTACCCCTCTTGTCACTTGGGTGGTACCCTCAAAGGTACATCTTCAGTACCTTTAGTAAGGCATCATAATTGGCCCATATTCCATTGAAATTATATTTTTTTAAGTTGTATGAACTCTCCAAACCTTGTCTTGTCTTGTCTCCATGCTTTTTATTTTACTGTTCTCTTTTAAAACATTAGGTTATGAAAAGGTATAGATACATACCTCTCCTCTGGGAGAAACCTATTTAAGGTACACAGTTGGATCTTGGAAACCATTCTTGTACCTTTGAGGGCACATTTACATTGTTTGTACCTGGAAAGGGATTGTTGATGAATGAAAACTGCGTCTGCTCAGCACCTTTTTTTGACAGTGTAGAACTTGCAGTTAGGGCTGGGCAAAATGACAATATTAATAATCATTGTGATAAATTACGGCACAATATACTGTTTCTAAGCAAATTGTGGACATTGTCAAGAACAATGAACAGGTTTCACTACAAAGAGAGCATAAAGTCCTATTTAATTTGAAATTGTGCAGCACAGGATGTGGATTGTTGAATACAAATCAGTGTATTCATAGTTTGTAACACAGCTGGTTCTTATTGGTTTTTATTTGTTCAAGTTTATCAGATGTCTGAAAAAAATAAATATTTCTTTAAGTATCGTGATATTATATTTTTGACATATCGCCCACCTCTACTACAGTTTTTGGGTTAGTTATACATATATATTTCAATTGCATAACAATTAGGTGGCAAATATTTTTTTATTTTAAGTCATTAAGTCATTAAGTCAATAGTAAAGTAAATAAACCTTTAGAAGTAATTGCAACTGATCACAGTTCTACATCATGGCATCAAAGAACACTAATAGATACCCTCATAAATAACAAACAGTTGGCTTCAAAATGATCAAAATCACCCATTTCAGATGATTCCTTTGGTTTTATGCACCTGTGCAAGTCTAATCAGAAGCTGATTAGAGTCTACAGTTAATAGTTTACCATTATATTAGTAAACTTTACATTAGCAAAGTTGTGGTTTACATTGAGTTAAATCATACTTCAGAACTGGACTAACTGCTGTCTTAGTTCTTGACCTCAAGTCTATTATTCTGTATTGTGGTTCTCTCCTACAGAGGAGTCAGTCTCAGTCAGCTATGGAGGAGTTCAGTGCTCTCTCTGAGCTGCAGGTGATCAGAGCCCAGTTGGAGACCAGCGAGAAAGAGCGGATAAAGATGGAGAATCAGCTGAGAGATTCACAAAGAACCGTGACAGCACTGCAGGAGGAATGTGAGTAAATTATCTGTGTATGATATTTTGAAGCTATCATATCAAAACCTCAGAGCTTCATTTTTTGGTGTTTTTGTTGTTTTTAAATTTTTAACACCATGAAAATACCACCTGTCCTTTACATTGTGTGGCTGAGCTATTCAAAGAATGATCCAATAGAAATAGCCCAAAATTACAAACTCATTTACAAACCAGTTGGGGCAGTAGGAAAAATGTAAACAAAAAAAAAAAAACAGCAATGATTTGCAAATCAAATTTTTGACCTGTATTCAGTTTAAAATAGTACGAAGACAAGACATTTAATGTTTTAACCAATTTTTTTTTTTTTTTGTGTATATACGCTTATTCTAACTTTGATGCCTGCAACATGTTCCGAAGAAGTTGGGACAGGGGCTTGTTTACCACATGTTGAATAGGCATGTTGGAGCTGAGAAAACTAATTGTTGCTGTTGTGAAAGTGGAATTTTCCCCCATTCTTGCTTGTTAACAGCCCAGGGTCTCCATTGTTGTAAATTGTGTTTCATAATGCACCACATGTTTTCAATGGCGGATCAGTCCAGCAACTGCACTCTCTTACTATGAAGCCATGCTCTTGTAACACATGCAGAATGTCATTGTCTTGCTGAAACAAGCAGAAACATCCCTGAAAAAGATGTTATCTAGATGACAGCATATGTTGCTTCAAAATGCACATTTACTCCTCAGCATTAATGGTGCCTTCACAGATGTGCAAGTTAACCATGCTCTTGGCACTAATATACCATGGCAGATGCTGGATTTCAAACTTTTTCATTTGTAACAATCAGGATGGTCATCTTTTCTCTTTGGCCCAGAGAACAGGACGTGTTGAGCCAGAACAATATAAAAGGTAAAATCGTCAGACTGGAGGTCATATTTCCACTTTACGTCAGTCTTTCTCAGATGAGCATTAGCCCAGAGAAGTTGGCAGCATTTCTGGGTGTTGTTGATACATGGCTTCTGCTTTGCATAGTATAGGCTTAACTTGCATTTGTCGATGCATTGGCAAACTCTGTTTACTGACAAGTGTTTTGCAAAGTATTCCTGAGCCCATGTGGCCATTATAGAAGCATGTCAGTTTTTAATAGAGTGCCATCTGAGGGATCGAAGGCCATAACCTATTCACCTGTGTACCTGTGGAAAGTTCCAAAACAGGTGTTTTTTATCATTCCACAAACATCCTTGTCTTACATTGCCCTGTCCCAGCTATTTTGTAATGTGTTGCACCCATCAAATTTGTATCAAGTATCATGTTTTTAGAAAAAAATCAATAAAGTTGATAAGGTAAAATATTAAATATCTCTTCTTTGTACTGTTTTCAGTTGAATACTTGTAAAAGATTTACAAATCACTGCAAAAGTTGCGAATCGCTGATTTCTGTTTTTATATATGTTTTACCTACTGTCCCAATCTCATTACATTAACACATGTTAAAGTTAAGAATGTATTTTCTTCTCCTATGATGGTACTTTTTTGAACATACAGTGGTGACAATATACTATGACATTATGTTTCAAAACATGACATAACGTGGTAGTGGTCAATATTAAGACAGATATATTAATGTTATATTAATGACTGGCACTGATTATTCTACCATATGTATTGATCACACAGATAAAAACAATTTCAAATGTATATACCATGTTACTCTATCAGTGAAGCAGCTTCAGGATGGGGTGAAAGAGGCTCCTCCCCTTGAATCTGCCCAGTCAAATGTGGGCAATGCTTCTCAGGCTCCTCCCCATCCTCCCCCTCCTCGTCCACCACCACCTCCCCCTCCTCCTCCACCACCACCTCCCCCTCCTGTCCTCTCTACACCACCTACGGAGTAAGATCAATCTGATAATTATCTGTATTGTCATGAAAAATATAAATAATATCAGGACACTACTCTATACACATAAGAGATGAATATGAAATATGAAAAGTTGAACATGCTGCTGTGTCCCTCTAGCCCACTGGATGCTTTGAGAAACAGAAAGAAAGGTGGAAGCACTGCAACTGATTCTAAGAGTAAGATTCTCATATGTATCTAACCTTCATGTAATATTATAATATGCTTGGGGTGAATTTTCTGACTTTTCTGCCATTTTCTCATTGCAGAGCCTGTGCTGTCGATGGAAGTGAAAGCCAGAGCAGTGGATGAAATGATGGAGAGAATTAAGAAAGGGATCATTCTGAAGCCCACCCAGAAGCCACCACAGGTGAACATTGTCTCATAGAGGGACTCTCTGGCTGAAATGAAAAATGTAACCATTGCTACATCTAGGAAATGCATAGTTAACTAGGAAAACCCCCTTCTGATAACATATCATGAAGATATTTTGAAAAACTATTATGCGGTTTTGGGGTGTTTTTTATACATTGAACTCCTATAAAGTTGAATATCTTATTGCAGCTAAATCATCATTACGATTAAGTAAATTGATTACTCAAATGACAGAAATGACTGTTCAGATGATGAGGAGTTCTGTCAAATTCTGTCTAAATGATGAGACTGAGGAACATAATAGTGCACAATACAACAAATTAAACTCTAGTTTTAGGCCATAGTGCCCCATAAACCTTAAGGGACAACATTTGGGTCCAATCTTCAGTTTCTTACTCTCACAGCTATACATCTTAGTTTCATAGCAGTTACTGAATAATTTACAGTAATTACTGAATAATAAATATGAAGATTAATAATTGGATAATAGGCCTGGTTACTGAGCTAAAATTGAAATGAGGGACACAGCACAATATAATTTTCTACTGTTCATTTATTTTACAGGCTAGCTTAGAGGAGGAGACTGCATGGAAGGTTAGTGTCTGTTGAGGTGCTCTAGAAAATAAATAATTTATGATACCATAATTACCAATATGTTGCTTCTGAATGATCAATCAACCACTTTAATCATGTGGGTGACCCAGCCATATTTTGTTGATTTTTTAAGTGAAAAGAAGTAAAAATAGCCTCCGCAGCATACAAAATTTTTAAAATAACATTTCTCTATAAATGTTACTGTGGTTACTTTATATATGATTAACTTAAACAAATAAAACTAAACAAATAAAAAGTAACTGTGGCCTGTGCAAAATTTTGGACACCTTTCTAGTTGTATAGTATCTATCCATCCATCCATCCATCTATCCACCCATCAATCCATCTTCTAAGCCGCTTGTCCTTCTGGGTGGCGAAGAGTGCTGGAGCCTATCACAGCATTCATCAAATGGAACTTAATACGACCTTAATGATTGAATTATTAATACATTTTCTGACTTGTAAAATCTTATGCTATCACTCAACAAACATGAGCTCCTATGCAGCTGACTGAGGATCTGAAAATGCAGCTAACTGATGTCATTAAGAAATGGGAGTTTGGGGGAACTATGGAAGTCAAGGCAAGATCTGGAAGACCAAGTAAACTCTCAGAAAGAACCGTTTGTATGCTGGCCTGAAAGACAAAGCAAAACCCCCATATGACAGCAGGAAGTTGCAGCTGACAAAGGAGCGGTTGTGCATCGTTCCACTGTTCAGTGTTGCTTACACAAACATGATCTGCATGATGGAATCATCAGAAGGAAAACTATGCAAGTCTAAAGGATGTGAAACAACATCTAAAAAAACACAAGTGCTGTGGACTGATAAAGTAAAAATAGAACTCATTAACCACAACCACCAAAGGTATGTTTGGAGAAAAAAGGAGCAGCAATCGATAAAAAGAACACCTTGCAAACTGCATGGGGTGGACCTAATATGTTTTGGTGTTGTGTGGCAGCCAGTGGCACAGAAAACATTGCTCAGGTAGAAGGAAGAATGAGTTCGACTAAATATCAGCTTGTGTTAGAAGCAAATGTAACACAGTCAGTCAACAGGACAATAATCCAAAACACACCTCAAAATCCACCATGAACTGCTTCAAGAAATGCAAAGCTGAAACTTTTAAAATGACCTGAAATGAAGGTCACTGAAAATATGTTGGTAGATTTTGAACATGCTGTTCATGCAGAATGGCCAAAAGTATTGCGGAAGTAGAAGGGTTTTGCCAGGAAGAGTGGAGGAAAATTTCAAAAACAACAACAGAAAGACTTCAAGCTGTGATATCTGCCATGATTACGATTTCATTCTAGCTTCCTGCCACAAGTATGATTTCATTTTTTCTATTTTTTGATGAGTTAATGAAATATAAAGTAATTGTGCATTGCATTTGCAGCCAAGTATTTTTAATAGTTTGCTAGAGAGGTTGTGTTTACTTCTTTTTACTTCAGAAATGAACAAATATGTAATTTGACCAGAAATGCTGCATCTTTCTCTGAGTTTGAAATACTTCAATATCTTGGCTTTGACTGATTTGAACGGATTCTTTTCTACTGTTAAAAATGTATGAAAAGCAGAATGTAAACATTTAATAATTGAGTTGACATAAATAATCATCAAGAGTACAATGTTCCAATATAAACTTAAATCAGCTTAGGACAAATGCATAGTTACAGTCATTATTATCAGCGGTGTTACATTGCTCAACAACTGAATCAGACATGTGCTTCCTATCACAGGACCAAAGAAGTGAGAAGAGGAAGTCTGCTGTGCTTGAGTTACAGGGAATGCTGGTAAAATTAGAACTCTTACAGCATCTATGGCCTGTGTCTTCCTTGTGCACTCCGCTTTGACCCTGTTCACCCTGTTGGTTTCTGCAGTTAGTCAGTGTCCAAAACTCGAATACCAGGAACTGTTTTTATTCCATCCTTTATCAAGAAACTAAAACATTTAGAAAGAAAGTGAAAGATTGAACATTCTGGGACATTTCAATACCTGCTCTGGGTTGTATCTCTAAAGCAGAGCTGGAATAATGTAAAATCTCCAATTCTGCAAAAACCTGCTGAATTGATGTCAGGCAAAGTTCAAGCTGTGATTAAAGCAATGCTGGATGTACAATTGATAGAAAAGTACCATTAGACATAATTTGAAAAAAAATATACATTTTCATATCTGATAATAATAACAAAATATCTCTAAAAATGTATTATATACTACAAGTTCTTGGTAGTGAAATCCTCTAAAACTGCTGAAACATTATTTGGGAGTTTGATCTGAAGAGTGGATTCTCTGTCAGGATTCCATGAAGCGACCTGGTCACAGAAGGGTGATGTCCAGGAAACGGATTAGTCGTAATGTTGGGGAGGCGGAGCTTCAGCTTGTCTTGCAAAGAAGAAGGCGGGCTATGGGGGACGAGAAAGGGGCTCCTCCCTCCACCACACCAAAAACCCAAGGTAAAGCACCTTACAGCGTTGAAGGGGAATTCCACCGATTTTTGAAAGTTTCTGCATAATGAAGTTGTTGAGACAAAGTCATTCAGAGTGATTTGGTGTGAAATGATTCATTGTAGATAAACTTAGACTCCGATTTCTTTACAGTGGTGGTAATAGAAGCTAATGTTTTCAGTGCAAAAATAGTCTTTTAACTAACTATCCAAAACCACCAGGGAATCTTCACGTCTTCTGAGTTTTTATATATATATAATAGTGGAAATTTGAAAAAATATGTTTTCTTTGGGGACTGTTCTGCCTCACAGCACACTGCATGCACCTTCGCCAAGAACATATTTTTTAAAAAAGGTCAAAACTATCATAAAACAATGTCTCAGACATCAAGCAGTGTCTTTGTAACCATTTCATGTAATAACTTTCTGAGGGAGTTTTTAGAGGAATTAACCAGTTCAGATGACATTTCCACCACTGTGAACTCTGCTGACAGTAAAGTTTCTCTGTTTTATAAGAATGGAGCACGTCACTCAAACCACTCTGAATGTCTTTGTTTACATCCTTACAATCGTGTTATGCAGAATTTTTGAAATATCGGTAGAATTCCTCTAAAATCAACACTTGGTTCCAATAAAAACAGAAATAAAATCCTACTCTCTTCCCCTACTGACTCAGCAAATCCATAAAGCACTTAATACATCATTGTACTTGATTTCTTCATACTCATTAAAACTTTATTCCTTAAAGTCAAACGCGGGATCTGTTAAGGTCTCTGAGCTAGCTGAATGTTTTCTCTCTGTGAGAGACTGAGAGACATGATATTATTGGTTAGCATTATTTTTTCCACCTGCTGGTGTACTGTGATGTCATCAAAAATCAGCAGAGGTTTTAGAGGTGGGAAGAGGTCATTCAATTTCAGTGGAAGATAAAAAAAAACTGAATTTTGAATTTTAAATGATATTTGATGAATCCTGCTTAATTTGACCACCTCAACTACCAAGATAGAGAACTGTGCAAAAGTTCATTTATTTCATTTCAAATCAAAACAGCCATTAAGAACAAATTATTAATTCACTCTCAGAGAAAAAGGTACTAAACTATCACTGGGGCAGTACCCTTATTATCACTAAGGTGGTACCCTCAGAGGTAGATCTCAGCACCTTTAGTCAGGGAACATAATTGTACCATAATCCATTAAAATTATATTTTCTAAGTTGTATTGACTCTGCACACCCTGTCTCACCTCCAGGCTTTTTATTTTATTGCTCTGTTTTAAAACATCAGGTTATGAAAAGATACAAATGTGTACTTTTCACCTGGAAAAATGTATTTAAGATACACAATAGAACCTTAAAACCACTGTTGTACCTTTGAAGGAACATTTACATTGTTTGTACCCTGATGAACGAAAAATGTACCTGCACAGAACCTTTATTTCTAACAGTGTTTTTCAGTGTCAGGAAAAAAGGCAGAAACATATATTTAACAGAAAATGACACAGAAGCCTCAACAACTAAAGGTAGTACCATATTTTTAAGTATTTAGGGTGAATCCTTTTATTACAGCTTCCTTTCTTTATATAATATCTTCTGATATTTTTCCACAACTCCAGTGTTCAGTCTTAAGGCCAAAAATTCAGTCCAAAGTGCCGCTGTGCCACATAAGATGCATCCTGGTGAGAGTGCCAATAATTTTACACTCTACTTGTATAAATTCAATGAAATAAAACTTTCAACATGTTTGATCACGTTTGGTGTCAGTTTACAAACCTGCTAACTAGGTTAGTGATGTTAGCAGAGGTAACAGACCATTACACTGTCTGTTTATCCAAATGACTGCCTGCCTTTATCTGTGTAAATTTCAAGCCACATGATCTGCATTACAGCTTTAAGCCTCTAATTTAATGTAGTAATGGCAAAATGCAGGTGATCAGTTAATTTTGGTGAGAACACCAGCAGCTTCTTTGTTTAATTTTTGAATATTTTTATTTCTCAGTAACATTTTAACATTTTTATTTCTCAGTATCTTAAATCTAATATCTTCAGAAATATCTCCTGGAGCATTAGCAACTTGTATTCCATGACTGCTTTGACTGGAAATTAAATAAATGAAAGGTGGTCTCTCACTTTTGCACAGTACTGAAAAAAAATGTTTTTAGATTTAATTTAGATCTCAAAATGAAATTATCTCAAAATGTAATCTTAAAATCACTTGTTTTCTTTCATGTACGAGTTGCCACTGAAGAATTATTCAAAGTCATGTAACATCAGCCATCACCTTGTCTGGTAGGATAGATGGGAGATGGATATAGACAAGTTCTCATGTCTCATGTCACAGCGTCCTTCTCAAGGACCGTGTCTCAGGCCTCACAGACACACAGAGGCCAAAGAACTATTATTCCTAGAGGCAAGAAATATTTTTTAAGTAAAATATTCCATATTAAAAAGATTCAAATTTGATTATATTCATCAAATCTTTATCCAATCTTTATCCCTCAGCAGCAGCATCTAAAACCAAAACTGTGCACACACACTGGAATAAAATCAATGTAAATTTATCATAATTAATAGTAGCAATTTTTCCAGCAATTTATTGTTTATTTACAGTACTCATTATATTGCACAACTGTAGTACTTTACTATCTTTCTAAATATACTGTATTTGTGCATTTTTCTTCCTGCACTCCTGTATTTCTGAAATACAGCTCATATGTGCTGTAGTGTGAATCCACAGCTGTCTGAGGACCCTCAGTTTTATCACAGTATGTAGTACAACATGTAAAGATATATGCAAACAGGGAAAATCTGTCTAGGGAGTCTTTGATAGAAAATTCTTGAACATTCATGCATGACTACGAGAATGATTATGAAACATCAGCATAAAACTATCATTTACACCATGAACTGAGCATCACATTACAGCAGTTACTGCACAGATACCATCATTAAGACTACAAAGACTGCAGTAACCAAATATCTATTAATTATAACATTACAGGATGAACTAGTTACTGAAACACAAACACCATCATGGTTAGAATAACAGAACATTTAAAGCACATTTATTATAGACATGGTAAAAATAATATGTTGAAACAAAAAAAAAATAGTAACAGAAAAAGAAAATATAAAAGCAAACTGACAAAAAAACAAAGCTGCAAAGAATGCTGGGAAGCTGCATCCCCATCACTACAATAGTCAGGGACAGGCTGCTCAAGACTGCGCAGAGTATGGCTGCTTTCCCAATATGCTTTGCAAATATCTGTATAATACTGTTACTATACTACTATAATTTGACATTTTAACTTCTTTGACAAGAAACTAGAGCTGTTTTTACCAGAATGCACCATTCTGTACAGAAATCTGCTGTATTTAAGGATTACACTAGATTACTGCAGTGCTTGTTTATGTGCAGTCAAAATAGAACTAGAAGTGGTTAGGGCAGTGGGTGTTTCGTAGTTGTGTATTTCTTACTAAACAAGTTATTAATGTGTGTACAGTCTTGTTTTGAGGAGTGAAAAACTATCCTTCACATTACTATCCTTCACATGTTTTTGTCATTTCTTGAAATCTAAACTAACAACAAAAGTCTGAAGAACAGACTAAGACTTACTGACACAGAATTAAAACCAAATTTTAATATAATTAACTACCTAACAATGTAAGTCGTTGTTTAATTGTGTTATTACATGTGAACAGCATAGCAAAATAGCACTTTAGACTTATATGTATTAACCCCTTAAAGGCCAGCATCTGCCAGCAGGCCCAAAGTTTTATTACACACTTCTATAACCAAAGAATAGCTCAACCCGTTTGCACTAAAATCCCAGATGTTATTGAATAATAAGCATTAGTATATAACAAGCCTGAGATTTTAAGGGTTTAAAAATAAGATAAGATAATCATTTATTCATCCCACAACCAGGGAAATTCACAGTGCTACAGCAGCAAAGGGATAGCAAGGCACTCAAGAAAAACAAGTATCAAGAAGAGAATTACCAGACAAAGTATTAAGCTTATTAATTCTGTAAGAAGGTTATGTTTTGCTACTTATTACCATATAGACAATATATGATACTAAAGAAAAAAAAATAAAACTCTCTCCTTCACAAAAGTAACAATATAAACATTATAAATAAAACAGCAAAAGATTTTTACTCTATAAAGATATTTGACACATATTGCACATTGAATATTGCACACTCTAAACAGGGGTACTGCAGGACCAGGGTTGAGAAACACTGGGTGAGAAGTATGGGATGGCTTCGTTTTTCTGTGTTGTAATCAGGCTCACTTAGTTCATAGTATCTGCTGTCCTCTCCATCCTCCAGATCCACCTCCTGCAGCCCCAGCCTCGAGCTCGTCTCCCTGGCAAGCAGAAGGTGGCACTGCCCCAGTCCTCCGGAGACTGAAGCAGAACCAGGAGAAGAGGAGCTCACGCATTAGAGCATCAGAGTGCATCCTCTGGGAGGACAACTGAAGATGAAAGAGTGTCTCTCTGCAGTAATCAAAGTGTAATTTTGTTTAAAGCAGGCAGTTAAAGGACCCAACCACTGTAATACTGAAAATACAGATGCAAGGTGTCATGTTCTATGTTGAAGGTGAATTGTGCTTAATGTGGCACAAAAAAGTGTCAAATATGGGGTTCAGCTGCACTGGCCTACAGAAAAGTTCTGTCTGAAAGTACAACAAAAATCTATATTTCTGATTCCAGTCGATAGCAAATTTGAAATAAATTGGGATGTGAAGCTGTATTCATTTTGGACAATGGTCCCATTCACACTTTTATTGACTTTTATTTCAAGGTTAAGTGCAGATATTCAGTGTTCTTCTGCAGCTATGGCTACATTAAAAGAAACCTTCCAAGGACCTCAAGAGAATTCAGAACAGTTAAGGAAGAAATAAAACACGCTCTCTCTATCTCCCACTGTCCAATTTCCTGCTCTCAGCTTTGCCTGATAGATTCTTCTGCTTCTAAGCAATGAATCTTTCTGTTAAAGAAAGATTTTCACTGTGAGCCTTGAGCCACCTCTGTGTGTGTGTGTGTGTGTATGTGTGTGTGTTCACGCCTGTGTGTGTAAAAGCCTTTAGGTGGGTTCATTCGCCCATCAAGAAGCATCTAAGATGGGGAGAGAGGTGCTTTTTGTCCTCCACACCTCCACACTCCCGTTCTTTGATAAAAGCATTTTAAAAGGGGGGAATTATTTGCACGGTAGCGGCTCTCGGCCCTCTGCTTTTAAAATCAATTTATTCTATAAGGATTCTTTACCCCCTGGAGAGAACCCTTTATCTAGCAAACATTATAAAGAATTTATGTTTCATCCAGGAATTGTAAGGAGTCTGATTTGTGTGTCTCTCTGTGTGTCAGTGGGTGTGAATGTGTGCTGATGTGGTTTGGGTAAGGGATGCATGCATCAGAAAACAGGGAGAGGAGTGCGGGTCCACTGAAATAAACAAAGATCTCAGGGGAAGGAGACAGAAAAACGCTATGGGCCCCCAAAACTCTATATGTGTATTCCCTTTCTTGAGAAAGGTTAAACAAACAAACAAACAAATAAATATAATAATAATCTTCTAAAAATCTACTCAAAATCTATGTTTCCTATAGAACTGCAGCTGAATTTGTTTACTACATCCAGCATCTCTCAGTGTAGAAAGTTCCCATTAGGTACTGAAGATTCTCCTCAGAGCTATACCTTCATAAGGTTTGAACACCCCTGCTCAAATTACTACCCCATTTCCAAAAAAGTTGGGATGCTCTGCAAAATGTTAATAAAAACAAAATGCAATGATGTGCAGATAATTTAAACCCTCCGTAGGATCCGGGGATATTCGGGAGGAAAATGTACACAGAACAAAACATATCAGGTTCAGAACATTTTTATTTAGCACAGGGTGCGACAGAGGCCTTTTTCAAAAACCCCATTCATTCTGGCCATAGAGAAATCCAGCTTAGACCCGGAGCTCCTTATATGGGCATAAGACTACAGAATGACGCACAACCACAGTAGTCTATTGCCTAGTCCAAACTGCTGGTGACATGTTTAGGCAAAGGGCGGCACTGAAACATGGTGACTGATAAGATTAGGCTCTGGAGCTAAACTGACACCCATCTACCTTTGACTGTACACTGAAGCTTTGTGTCCACTGAATGTAGTAAAAAATTAAGCCACTAATCGATTGTCCAGGAATTTCACAGGGCCGGGTTTGTAACCCTGTCTGCCTGAACTAAAATCAGCTCCACTCCTGAGTCTGTCTGTGCAGAATCTCCACGGCTGCGGTTTCTCCTCCAGCCGGAGGCGGCGCTGTGACTTTAGCCCTCTGTCTAAGGAAACGCTACCTGAACTTTGTCCACTTCGGTCCTTTAGCCCTACACCAAGCGATACAATTAGCTGTTTTTGTTTACATTCCGGGTGTTTATTTGTGCGTTTGTTTTGTTTTAATCACTGAGAAGATGTGGTTCATTTATCTGCTCAGCTGGCTGTCGTTGGTGATACAGATATCCTTTGTTACTCTCGCTATTGGTGAGTTGTTTTTGGATTCTGGTAGTTGGGTTAACTCTCCTGCCTCACTGAGCTGAGCTTTAACCATTTAATAACTCCTCCCGTTTGTACTTATAACGTGTCACTTTCGCCATTTAGCAGCCCGAGTTCTCAAATACATTAACATTTGTCGTGTAAGGAAGTCGGAGAGAAGTACGCTGGTGTTATATAGGATTAAATAGAGCTCGAAACGATCACCCTTCCTCTACAGGGCTTGTTAGCTAGCTAGCTAACTCGTTAGCTTACCGGCGCTGGCTGTTCTCTGATTTAACGTTAGTTCTTCTGAAAGGTTGATCAGTAGTTATACATTTAGGCGGCTGCTGTGTACTAAAAGCATTTGGGACATTGCAACAGTGCATTTTCATATTGCAGAACTACAATATCGATATTTTACTGTTTGCAGAAACTTCTGTCACTCTGGGATGGAGAAAGTTAGCATATAGCGTCGGATGCTATTATTATTCTGTGGGATATTTAGTGTGTGGAATGAAATGATAAATCACCAGCTATCAATCTGTAAATTAGGTGAGTAAACTGCTGTGTTCTCCTTCTCTGTCTTTGGGTGAAGGAATCAGTCCCATGTCCTCTAGTCAAAGGAACCCAAGCAGATCTCTCTGACGAGACCATAGCTAACAGCTAACTGAACTGGGGCTTCATTACTGGGGCACAATTTTAGGTAAAATAATGCATAATTTTGAAACCTAATTCGTGAAGTCTGTTATTCAGTAGTCATAGCATTAATGCCCCTCATATTCAGATTCACGAGTGCCTAAACCTCTTATTTTTCAGGGTCTTATTTCTGTAGAGGCTTAGCTAACACGATGACTGAACATTTAGCTAGCATTGTTTGATCTTTCTTTTCATAAAGATCCGGGCGCTACAAACTCATTGGATTAGCTTCCCGGATACAACGTAGATTAAGCCCAACCTTGCACCAAATTAAAGCACCGAAGATGTTTTACCATTAAAAGGCATATTTAGTGCAGTTCAAGGCTTAATCTGGGTCTGGAGAGCTGTCCCACGGTGTTTAGCCTGCTAGTTTAGTTCTCTGTATTGTATTGTGTAACGCCAGATCTCTTTATTTTAGATTCATTTGTTAAATATATTGAATTAAGTATAGTAACTAATTATTCGTGGAAATGTTTTAGCTTGTCTCTAAACTTTAATTGGCAGAGTAAAGTAACGTTGAAGCCGTGTCTGCAAGCGTGAATGGGCGGTAGCTGTGCTGTCCACGTTGGCAGATCTGTCAGTCATGTTGGGAACTTGCTGCCTCGACACTTGTCCTACCTGTAGTGTTACCTAGTCGGGCTCCACCCTTTGGCAAGAATGAGCTAATGCTGTTTCCACTGCTTCGTGGCAATTGTGCAAGAAGACAGATCCAGTTTATTAAAGGAAATTAAAAGGGCAGACAGTGCAGGTGATGCTACATGCAGACTTATCAGCCCGCGACAGAAGCACATGACAGATTAAGTTGTGTTAAAAATGTGTTTAAATGAGCACTAATCATGCACTCACTAAATTGTTTGTAATTGCACTTATAAAACATCTTAACTCAAGGTTTCTTTAGATTTACACTAGTTAGTGATGCATTGTCTGAGTGGACAGCAAAGCACTTTAAGTTGCTCTGGATAAATGTGCACTGACATTTATGACATTTAGTAAATGCTGTTATCCAGACCAGCTTTAAAAAAATGCTGTAAATGCACTTTTTTCCACTCCATCTCACACATCCTGATTCAGTCTAATTCTGCTGTTCTGCAGTCCACACATCTCACACTCAAACATTATTATTGTATTTTAGACCAAATTAGAATTGGGCGATATGGCCAAAAATGTTATCACGATAAACAAAATTCATATCGTTCGATATCGATACATACCGCGATAAATGTCAAATCATTATTTCTTTCAAGTTTGAAGGCTTATTTTTGCTCCTGGGAGGTTAATTGCTGTTTTAAACTATCCTTTATGGTCGGAAAACAACAAACACTCGCCAAACAGTGGAACATTTCACAAATCTGTCATGGGAGAGTGGGAGAAAGTGTCTGGTGAGCTGTTTTTACCAGCTGGAAAAGCACGGCTATTTTGTAAGTCATAATTTAAGAAAGAAAACAGATTATTTTTAGCTGGTGACGAGTGCTCGGCTAACTACCCCGCTACAAATGACATCACAGTATTCAGACACCAGCTAGCGATGACTGGATTTCTCTATCGTAGTAGTTTAAGGGGTGAACCGCAAAATATCAGACAAACAGAGTCCTCCTTTTAGGTACGTTTAAACTGAAAGCGGTGCTTTTGTGTCTTGTTTGATCTACAGTATCATCAATTCTCCGTGTTGTGGAGTGACAGAGCACTGCTTCAGGTTAGCTAGCTGCTAAAAACAGCTAGCCTGGAAAGCTAGCACTCTCCCGCTCTCCAATGCCTCACAGCTTTCTCAGTTTACTTTCGTTTAAATCAGGGCTGTAACTCACATGAACTCACTTCTTTCTTTCACTTTTGTTGCTTGTGAATGCACCAATACTTAAGTATGACTGTCAGAGCGCTGTAACAGCGCTTTAGTTGTGAGGATTGTGATTTAACGCTGCTAAAGCTGGTTAGGATGTTAGGAAAGAGGTGAGTTTGCTGTAGGACAGTGCAGTTACACCACTGACCGCACTCACACTCACAGGTCACAGGAGAGCAGATCGCCGGTCGCTCCACTCAAACAGGGAATGTATAACTCCGCGTTTCAGCCGTTTCAGACTCATCTTACTCGTGGCCCCCTCCCTCTCTAATCATGTAGAAAAACTCGGAAGTGCGCCCTCTCCTGGCGACATCAGAGTAGTGTCGCTTTCCTTGCAGTAGAAAACGCCACCAAGGCTTTCGCTGAACGTGGAAGTGTGAGAACGGTGTATTATATCGAACATTTATCAAACATGTTGTATCGCTCTATTGAGGAAAAGTTATATCGCCATAATTATCGTTATTGTTTTATCGCCCAGCCCTAGACCAAATACAGTTGTATGCAAAGGTTTTGGCATCCCTGAGTCATGTGACCTGTTTTATACTCATCCTCTACAAAAAAATTAAGTGTGTCATTGCCGTTTATTGCTGAATTTTAACACATAAGGAAACAAAGAACAAAACATGTGTCCTGTACAAAAGTTATGCCCAGAAAAGAGAACAGTAGAGTCTAACAAACTTCTGTTCCAATGCTGATAGATGCAGGATGTGAAAGTTTCACTGTAGTTTTATAAGGGACTCAGTACGTTTGACCTATTTTTTGACCTGATACTTGTTTATTTACTGTTAAGCCAGTTGTGTTTGGTAGCTGCTCTTGCTTCTAAGTGAGTCATTATTTCATTGAACTAGCGACATCTTTACTTGAGAATGCTTTTAGCCTACTCTGCTCACCTATGTTGGCAGGGTGCACAGAGTATGATATCTGACAAGTTCAGCAGGATGTCTGCTTGTCAGGCCTTGTTATACAATTTTGAGGGAACTTGCTTGTAGTTGAAAAGTTCAGGAGCTCATCTGAATGATCAGCAGCGCTGCCTGTGTGCACAGCGTGCTTTCAGCCTGCTTTTGGATGTAAATCTTAAAACTGTTTTTTTTTTTGTTGTTGCCTGAAGTAGCCTTGGGAAGATAATTTTGTAAAATGGTTATGTTTGTTTATATGTACTATGTTTATTAATTCATTTGATTTGTAGGCCAACTACGGGTCATTGTTTCCCAACTCCACTGCACTGTGTTGTGTTTTCTGGATGTTTCACAGTGTTTTCTGATTTGAATCAGATGTGTTAGAGCGGTGAAGTTATGAAACTCTGCTAAGCACCCCAGAACTGGCCTTAGGGAACACTTTTGCCAGCATGTATAGGGAGTGTGGACTATGATGTTGCATTTATTTCTCTGTTTTTCCTGTTTCTCCCTATTATTGTTGTTTTGTCTATTTTTTTCTTAACATGTTTTTCTCCTGCAGCTGCAGGTCTGTATTACTTGGCAGAGTTGATAGAGGAGTACACAGTCGCCACCAGTCGAATAATAAAATACATGATACTGGTAAGTTTTTGATCTGCAGTGAATTTTCTGCAGTGTTGTGTACCTTATAATCCCATGCAGGTTTTCATTACATACTGCCTGATATATAAAGGCAGTTTGTGTGGTTCTGCTGCCTTTCTGTCAGTTGTCTGTCACTGAGTCCTGCCTTCTGTTTCAGTTCTCCACAGGTGTGTTGGTAGGGCTGTACCTGTTTGAAGGCTTCCCTACTCTAATGATTGGAATTGGCCTCTTCACTAACCTGGTTTACTTTGGGCTGCTGCAGACCTTCCCCTACATCATGCTCAGCTCGCCAAACTTTATCCTGTCCTGTAGTAAGTATTCATGAATGGTAGATGATATTGCTTAGGTCTCACAAGTGTTTGCAAAAGTGTTAAACTTCTCCCTTGAAATTTCTGCAGTTTTTATATTTTGTATTTTAGTTTCTTGTTTTTATTTGAGTTTATAAGCTACCTTGCTTTTATGTAAAATATTGTAAAGTCTCTCTCTCTGTCCTTTTTCTTTCTTTCTCAGTACTAGTGGTGATAAATCACTATATGGCCTTCCAGTACTTTGCAGAGGAATACTATGCCTTCTCAGAGGTGACTAAAAAGTTTAATTGATAATTACCAGTAAACAGTTTTAACAAATTTAAATGTATGTCTTATCATTGAACATGTACTCTGTTGTTACTGATATTGCAGACAAAATCTGTTAAGTCTTTCTATTGCTCATTACTCTAAATAATTCATGTTGTTTCCAGGTCCTGGCATACTTCACAATTTGCTTGTGGGTGATACCATTTTCTTTCTTTGTATCCCTCTCTGCTGGGGAAAATGTTCTCCCATCCACTGTGCAGCAAGGAGGTAAGGGTGTGTGTGTGTTATGTTGTTTATTTATTTATTTATTTATGAAGACTGGACCAAAACAAACAACCAAAAATGACTTGGGGGCGGGGCTCTGGTTCCACTGACCCAAATTAAAAGTAAAGTAGGTAAAAGATATGGATTTTAAAGTTTTGTTCTGCCAACAGCTATATATATATATATATATATATATATATATATATATATATATATATATATATATATATATATATATATATATATAATCTTCAGCTTCTTGTAAGAGTTAAGTGTTGTATGTAATTAATTATTCAGTGTATTCAGAGTGTTTTTGCTTGTCATGTCATCTCATTGTCATTGCCAGTGATGTCTGTAAAATATGAGGTTTGAGTTAATATAGCTGCATGCAAGGGAAAAAAATCTTTGGTAAATTGGTAGGTTTTAATTTAGTTGTTTTCTACGTAAGATATATCCTTCTCAGTGTATGACGTTCCAACATGTTGTTGGTCAGAGAAGTGTTTTCACTTTTTCTGCACCTAGCTAACATCAGCAAGTGTAGTTAGTGATAGAGCTGCATCATCTATGCCTTCTCAATCATGTCATGAACATCACATATTTTGCAGTGGCATTTGTTCAAGGACTTGTGTTTTTAAGTAGCAAAGCTTAAAATAACATACTTGCTCACAAAGAGGAGCAAAACTGTTGTGTGTCACTTACTTGTTATCCTGCATATTTTCTCTGTCTTCCTGCGATGAAACTCGAATACTGATACGCACCTCCAATGATTGGTTAACCGAGGTCTCGAGTAGCTGTGCACATCCCTAATGACTACTATTTTTACTGTGATACACTGCTTGGAATAGGATAATGATTATATGTGAAAGAGTTCTTTAAGATTGATTCTGTACATTGAAAGCTGTACATATGTGACTGCAATAGAAATGATGTTTCATATTTTATTGACTAATTATAAAGTTATTTGTGTAAAGCATGCATGAGGATAGGATTGACCCACAAGAGACATTTTTTCAGGGATGTTGTTCAAGATCAGAGGCCTGGCTCAAGGAAGGGTTCCTGACTCAGTTTTGACTTTGCAAAATCTAACAGTTGTTAACTAAGCTTGCTTCGTATTGGCACTTAACAACTTTCTCTGTTAACCCAGGTTTAGAAACTCAAGCTTTGAATAATCTCTGTCTGTGTGCACATGAACGTGTGAAGTTTATGAATAGTCAGGCCCATGAAATTTCAAGAATGGCGGCATACATTTCCATGGAGGAGCAAGAATATTGTATAGGCTAAATATGAAGAATGTAAGGCAATTATAAAGACAAGAAGCTAGTTGGCAAAGTGCTACATCCTGCTGTTGTAAAAAAAGTGGATCCCTAATACAAATCCAGTCCTGTTTTTTTTTCAGATCACTGCTAAGTTATTGGGACTGGTTAGTCTTTGTCATAATCATAACACACTCCTAGGCAACAGCACGTTGAAAAATCCTCTGATGTGAACTGAGTGCTTTAGACTGTTCAGTCCACATTTATATTGTCTTCTGTTTGTCTTCCAGATGATGTGGTGTCAAACTACTTCACGAAAGGGAAGAGGGGCAAACGCTCGGGGATCCTCTTGATCTTCTCCTTCCTAAAGGAGGCCGTTTTGCCAAGCCGACAGAAAATGTACTGAACCACTGATGGGATAGGCTGGAGGACAGATAGAAGGATCGGGTGGGGTTGAGAGACGGTTTAAAGGCAGGGTTGCTGTGTCCGGCTGCCTCGATGGACTAGTGTAAGGGATGGAGGGGAGGAGGATGGTTTGGGGGCTGGCTCAGAGATGAAATGACTTAAGTAGTAGTAGTAGAGGACAACGCCTGGAAGGATGCAACACCCTGCAATGGACACACAATGTCCTCAACTGAACGTACATATCTGTCTCTCTGTCTGTCCATCTGACTGTTTAAGCGAAGCGAGCACAGCCAACTAATGCTCCGTACGCAGCCCTCAGCCTTGGAATGACTTCAGGCTCTGGTTTTCCTGGCAGGGATTAAGCCTGGTCTTGGACTAAAGTTACACTGTCAGTGGGTTTCCCCAGTTTAGTCTGGATCTAGGGTTAATCTATGCCTGAAAACCTCTTCCAAAAAGTCTTTAATTTTTAAAGGCTTGAATAATAGACATTTGATGCTCTGTCTTTATTTGGATGATTGGTGCAGGCTTCTCGCCATAAATTGGTAATAGCAGTTGCTGATGATCATGTTGTGTGATCCACACAATTAGTGTTTGTGTGGTTATCCATTAATGAATGAATGTTGGGGGCTTATTGTGAACATTTTAATTGTCATACCACAGTCATCAAGGCCATACTTTTGGTCCTGCTTTTTATTTCTGTGCTGTAAAGAACAAAAATGTTTGTACAAACTTTTTCTGATTTAAGCACATATGTGAATACCTGTAGGAGCAGCAGTGATATAGTTGTATGCGAAAGTCTGGGTGCCCCTGGTCAGATTAGATTTTTATTGATTTTCTAAATTGAAATAAGTTGTAATAACATATGTCAGGAGAAAAAAAAATAATGTGTGTTTTAATGAACAATTACTGTTGCTTTTGCTGAATTTAACATAGGCCTTTTGTGGTAAAAAAAAACACTATGTGACTGCAAAAGTTATGGCATATATATACATATATAAATATATAATTTTTTCCCAATATGGTAATCCCTGTAGAGGATGAGTTAACTTATTTTTTTAATTAGAAAATCAACTAGACATGTAATGTGACCTGGGGTATTCAAACTTTTGTGAGTAAGAGTAAGCATCCCAGTATACTCTTAAATTTAGAAGACTATCGTTGCCTGAGATGCTTAATACATATGGGTGCAGATGTAAGCAATGATGTGGTCACTTTCATCTTGTTCTTCATAAGTTGGGAGCCAGGTGGGTGATGCTTATTTTGAAAGTAAAATGAAATGGACCACAGTGCTCTCTTGGATGTTTTTCACACAAGCAGTTGAAGTGAAGAATTTCTAATAAAATGGCAGTTAATTGTTATTGAGTCTTCGTTCTGAAAAGCCACATCCAGTTTCCACAGATTGAGAATATCCATTTCTAATGGTTTTTTTATTCATCTGAGGTGCAAAACCCTCTCACACTTGTCTGTGATTGCTTGCCCTTTATATGAGGGGCACCTGGAGGTCATAAGTGGAAGTGTGAGGTCGCTGGGAGGTCAGCACAATCTGCCTCACAACTCTTACACATACACTCACTTTAGCAAGCTCTCACCTGGGGAATATGCCACTTAGGGGAGCGAGAGAGGATGTTTTGGTAATCTAGCCACTGTGTGGCTGAGCTGAAATCAGTTGTGTGGGTTCTTATGAAGGATAAGAACAGTGTTGAGGTAGCTGCAGCTGGTCTGAGATCAGTAAAAGTGCTACATTTTCTTCACAGTAAGAGCAGAAACAAGGGATCCTCTGGGGAGACCTGACAACAACAGTGGGGCTGTTACGTGTGCAGTGACCTAGGTCACTGTGGTCGTGCCCCTGACAGCCAACCACACGTCACAGCTGTAACTCAAACATAGTCTCCCCAACGGGGAAAAGTCCACTTTTTTGTCTTTTTTCCATACTTCACTGATCTGTAGATGCAGCCTGGTCAGCAGTGTTGTTCTGTTTGCACTCAGTAGGCAGCATTTATCAAAGCTTTTAGCATGGTTTAAAATTTTATGCAGAGTTTTATGTTCACTGTTTCTCTTGGCCTACGATTTGAGCTTTTTACAAATGCCAAACAGACACAGGCTTTTTTTGGTCCAGGGAAACCATTTCTGTGGTTTTCTATGTACCAAACATGACCTAAAGCTTCTCAGGAGTAAATGTGTATCTTTGTCAGCATACAAGCTCAGTAGTATAAGTCAGAAAAAAAGGGACATTTAATAATAAATAAGGCAATAAAGTCTTTTTTAATATCTATAAACATGCAAATCACATACTGTTCTACTGTAAGCATTAGAGGTTCTAGTTTGGTAACGACTATGTAGACACCTGCTTACCCAGTGTTTCATCCAAAATCAAGGATATTAATAGGAAGTTTGTCCCCGCTTTGCTGCAGTAACTAAGTATTGATGTTGGATGATTAGTTCTGGATCATAACAGTTACTCCTGCTCACAGCAAATGTATTGGATGGTTCTTTATCACTCCAGTGAATGCAGTTCCACTGCTTCACAGTCCAAGGCTGGAGGGCTTTATACCCCTTTAGCCAGTAATTGGCATTGGACATGGTGACCTTAGTCTCATGTGCAGCTGCTCCAGGCTGTTTCATTCTATTGGCTTTTCTACACAGAATATGTCCAGCTGTATATGTGCAACTGAACACCTGTGTCAGCAATAGGTGCCCCTTAAAGTAGCTGACTTCACTATTAAAGGATGTCTGGATACTTCTGGACATGTAGTGTCTAAAGGGCTAAAAGTCATTAGCGTTATAGAGTTGCGTCCTGTACGTCGGTTCAGCCTTATCCAGTCACTACAGTGATTAGTGTACTGGTTATCAATCTGGTGATGCAGTATCCCTTGCCATGCTTGTTTGCCTTGTTTTTGTTTTCCCTGCTCTAGCACAAATGATCCAGCTAACTAGCTCATTAACCTATCCATGCTCTACCAACATATGCTTTTGTAGCTACTGATCGAGTGGACAAGCTTCCAAGAGCACTTGCAAAAACACAAAGTAAACATAATGAGAAATTCAAGTGCACTACAAGTTTAGCAAAATTTCTTCATTTAGATTCTGTTGTATTTATTTTGATTACTGTGAAAGGTCGTGCTGTCAGGATAGACTGAGTTTAGAGTTAGAGTTTTTTGCCTTGACCAACCTTGGGGACAGAACACGGATAGATTAATGAACAAAATCCTCAGTTAAAGTGTGTGCTGGAAAACACTAAAATATGCTGGGCAGGGGGACTCCAGGCTTAGAAAGTAGTCATTTACTATTAGTAATGGCCCAGCTCCAGCTCTTCTGCCAGGTGCATTGCCACTTCAGTCCATGGTGAAGCTCCTGGTCGGGTGGTGCAACCTTGATGTGGCAGGTCCAGCACACTGCTAGCCTGGAATTGCAGTGGAGAAGTGATTCTGGAGAGGAAAGTGGACGGAAACAGACCCTTCTTAATGACGTCCAGTGGCAGGGCAGGAACTGGCTGTGGAACCTTGTCCCATGATGTAGTGTAGTGGATGTGGCCATCCCCATAACACCCCAGCGTCACCCTTTGATGCAGATCCGGCTCTGGTGGTGCTTTCTCTGGATGGATTCCCATTCGCACCTCCTGTGGCCTAATGATGCTAGCTGGAGGAGGTTTGGATGGGTTAGGGGAGATGTTCCATGCTTCTCTTTGTGCACTTGGGTGGCGTTTCTTTTCACTTTTTGTTTTCAGAGGCTCGGTAGATAAGCAGGGGCCAGGGCTTAATGTCCATGAGCCCCTCACAGGAGTCATGAGTAAAGGAAGCCCCTTCTTCTCAGCCCACTCAGACACTTTCTGCTCATTTATAGCCTCTCTGGCCACCTGAAACCACCATGGAAATGTGAGGATGACCTATGCAGTAAAAAAGTGAATTCACCAGAAAGGTACAGTCTTAAAAATAAAGGTGCTAAAGCGTTTTATTTGGAGCAGTGCTCCAAAAGAGAAGCAATTTTAAGTTCCGTACCTTTCAAATAGTCATTTTTGTAAATGTAACCTCAATGTAATGTAAAATGGCTATACCAAAAAATGATTTTTCCAGGAACTGTACGTCCAGGCCAATAACCATTTAGAATTTTTTTTTTTGTAAGAATGTAGCTACTACTGTAACTGTCTTCTTAGTTTCATGTATTTTTTAAAAAACAGAAAGTGAGCAATTATGAAACAAACCTTCTCCTTGCCCGCTACACTCCGGTACATCCTGATGAGATCCTGTCTGAGATTCTGCAGTGCTTTTCGTCTCTCCATGTCTTCCTTTTTATCCCTCTGCCACATGGCGTTCTTCAGAAACCTGTGATACACATAGAATGTTACAGTATACAATACAATTTGTGGCAGCAATGAATTGACTGCCTAGTGGCTGAATAATCCACCATGCAGTAAGTTTTTAACTGTAATTTCACTTGAAATACCATGCATTCTTTCAGTTAAACTCAATTTTATTTATATAGCTCTTGGTACAACAGATATTGTCCCAAAGCAGCTTTAAAGAGATGCAGTTCCATACCAGTAATGAGCAAGCTTAAGGCGAGCGCAACAGGGAAACTTCTTAAGACCTTAAGTCTTCAGTTCTGGACCTTGAATCCTATTTCCAGCCCAGTATTTTGTAATCACAGGTTGTTATTCGAACTGTTGATGTAACTGATTGGCCACCTAGTGCCATACCTACAGGCAATGACAAAACCCAGGATCGGAAACTGTATTCAGTGTCTGGAATCGAAACATGCATGAGGAAGAAACACTGAGAGGAACCAAGACTCAAAAGGAGAACCCATCATCCTCTAGGCAAGGCTAGATTTACCAAGGCTCATTTACCCACATCACTTTCTATTGCTTTCAGGGTGCCTTCGTTGCATGATTTCACATGCAACGCAACCTGCTGGTCTACTGACCTCAGCCCACCTGATACCCACCAGACCTCCCTGAGTACACCTGATACCTCCTATGCCTTTGTTTCTGAAACCTTTCCTGCCAATGACAAATTATATCACTCAATCTCTGCTTTCATGACAGCCCTACAACCCCTGCTAAATCTGTGAACACCCGTCTCTCACAATCACCTCTAAACTGATCATGTCCTCATAGACAAGTCTGTCAGAATTTAGGTGAACTTTTCTACTGTCCTGTTAAACTACTATTTTGGTTATGGTTCTAACTCTATGTAATCTAGTTAAGTCATTCCTTTTTATTTCTGGCAGAATGTTTAATTTTATATTTTGAAAAAAATGACTTATTTTCTCAAAATAATGACTGATTTTCTTGAAACATTGACTTAGTATCCTGTGTTTTTGTTTCTTTTTGTGTTCTTTTGAGATACTATGTTGAATGTTAAATAATGAGTTATTTAATTTAAAAAAGTAAGTAATTAAGAACTTCTTATGGCTTCACAGCACCACAACTGTGAAACATGGTGCCCTGGGCAAATACAGTAAAACTGGTTCACTTGTCCCTATTGTGAATTGACTGATTCTGAACTGTAAACATCTTAACTTCTCAGATTGAATCACTATGAAATTTTTCAGGGCCATGGATGTCCTTGACTGGCCCTGTCAGTCCCCCAATTTTAAACTCCCTGAGAGTAAGCGCTTCACTTACTGAAGACAGAAGACAAAATGCCCCTAAAACACAAGCAGGAACTGAAAAGGGCTGCATCACAGACCAGTGGAGGTACCCAGTGTCTGTTAATGTATGTGTGACAGAACTCATGCAGTGATTGCAAAAAAATGGAAAGCAAATGATAATGACTTTTATTGAAGATCTTGTTCAATTCATCCAATTATTTAATTTCAAATATCCTTAACATTTTTACTAATATTATTTTTCATTACATTTCATTTAAATATACAGTATATTCTGTTAGACCACTAAGTATCTGACGACCGTCAACCATTTTTAATATTTTAATTCAAGGGTTTTACCTGGCGACAACCCTATGACCCCAGATGCGAGCAAGGTCCAGGGGTGTGTGTCCTCTGCTGTCACATGCGCGTGTGTCCGCTCCAACCTCAACCAGTGTTTCAACACACTCTCTCAGGCCTTCAGCTGCAGCCATATGCAGAGGGCTCAGTCCTTCATCTGTGGATCTGGGAGTACAACAATCTTAACCATAACCATACAGGACTGCTGATCTTACCTGTCTTTACATTGTTTTGGGATGGTAAGGGTTAGTGCTTTTACTCTAAAGGGCTTTGGGTTCCTGGAGTAGGCACCATATACATAAAATGCATTCTTCTTTTTCTAATTTTTATTACATATTGTGGCATGCGATCGCCCCCCGGGCTCCGACGATGACGGCCGCGAGAGCCGGCAGGAAGGCGGGGCCCGAACACACAGCGGCGACGAACCTTGGCGAGGACAGCAGGGAGAGAGCCGCGAGTGGGGAGGGGGCGGAGCGCAAGCTGGGGGAGATGCGAGGGGGGCTCCTGCCCCCACGCACACCGAGGGTTGCCGCTCCACCAGCAGGTTCCTGACCATTTGACGGGTTGCCACCTGCTGCTCCTCAAGCTGCTTCCAGTGCTTTTCAGCATCCTAGAAGACAGCCTGTAGCTCCCAGCCGGCCAGGTGCACGTGGACCAGGGTCTTGATGGCCTCTTCTTCTGCCGTGGAGACTCCCTCGGTGCGTTGGCATCCTCCTCCCGGGTTTCGGTACCACTGTAGCACCGCATGTGCTACCCCGGGCTCAAGGAGGACGCTGGAGGCAGGATTCAGTGTTGCAGCAGCCATATTTCTTTAATCACACCAAATAAATACAAACTCAACTAAACCAACGCTACTCTAAACTGGCCACTTTTCAGTGGCTTTCAACTAACTAGACTTTTCAGTCTTTTTACTCAAGCTTTTCAGCTCTTCAGTTCCCGGCTGCTGCTTGTCCCTCTCTCTCGCTCTGTTCCCCCTCAGCTCTTTAAAAGGCGCTCACTCTGCCAGCCAGATCAGCATCAGCTGGCTCTCATTAAAGGCAGCGTGAGCACCCGAGCCGAGAGGGAACGAGAGCTCGCCGCTCCGCCTCCCCGTCACCGCCCCCAGCTTGCAGCTCAGCCGCCCGGGTCGAACGTGAGGTGTAGTGGAGCGGCCTCGCTGCATAACAGGGGGCGGGGCCCAGGCGGCGGAGCTCGGGACTCGCTCATTGCCCTCGTGCCGCTTGTTGCCGGCACCGTCGTCGTCCTCCTCCTGCCGTCACTCGCGTCACTCTGGTCACATGGCGGACCTCGGGCTTTGCGCTCCGCCCCCTCCCCGCTCGCGGCTCCTTCCCTGCCGTCCTGTCCGAGGTTCGTCGCCGCTGGGTGTTCGGCCCCGCCTTCCTGCCAGCTCTCACGGCCGTCATCGTCGGGGCCCGGGGGGCGGGCGCAAGCCACACATACATACATATAGTGCTGTACTAAAGCCACTATTTATTTATTTTATTTCCAGTTCAAATGACCATTAAGTACATTACACCCACTTTCTCACAGTGGAAAGATGGACAGAAACACCTGTGGATTTTTTCAAATCTGAAGCAAAAGTGGAGCTTGATTTTCTCCTCTCTTTCAAAGATGAAAGCAAAGTAAATGTAAAGTGTTTAACTGATGGTGACATTTTGGTGGTCTATCAGGTCTTGCCCAGATGTTAGAAGTCCCATTTTCTCTATATCTTTTAATACTTTTTGTAACTTCTCAAATTAGTGGCTAGCAGACCAGCTACTTAGTCATCATATCCACTGCATTACAAACAGCCTGACTGTAACTTTAACACCACAACAGCAGTTTTATTCTTGTCTATTATTAAGCAGAAAGCAAGTTGTACACATTGTGCTGGGCTCCGTGCTCTAGCAGGTATGTGAGGCAGGCATGTGAGAGTGGTTTGCTCTGTGGACTGAGCACCATGTGCAGGGGTCTTCGCCCACGCGGACAACTAGCGTTCACATCCACACAATGAGACTCCACAAGAAGCTTCATGCAGTCCAGCCGGCCATACTGAGCAGACACATGCAGCACAGTGAGACCCTGATACACACATATACAAACATACACAAAATTAGAAAAGGGGAAAGATGAGGAAGGTCATTTATATCCCCAAACAGACACACCATATAACCTGAAAAAAATAGACAGGCTGCAGCAAACCGTTTCACAGCGAACCGTTTCACCCGATGTCCAAGTAGATTATTCTGATATTCAGTTATGCAGGTAACAAAGCTGTTAAGAAACTCTTGTTTATTTCAAGATTCAAAATTCAAGAATCTTGGATCTTAAAACTCTTCAGCTTTAGCTGATGTTTTCCAGCATGTTCTTTATAATCTAACAAAATAAATATTGCAAATAAACCGATTTATGTAATGTAGCAGGAACTTTTGTCGTCAAGGGTCTATGATAGGGGTCATCAGTCTTATCCTCAAAGTGCCAGTGTGGCTGCAGGTTTCATTCCGAACAAGCAGAGCCACACCTGATTCTGCTTGTTTAAGTAGTTGGTCTCATAATACCAAACACACTGTCTCATAATACCAAACATGCTGTCTCATAATATGAAATACTCTGTCTCATAATACCAAACACACTGTTTCATAATACCAAATACATTGTCTCATAAAATCAAATACTCTGTCTCATAATACCAAATACATTGTCTCATAATACCAAACATATTGTCTCATAATACCAAACATTGTCTCATAATACCAAACACGTTGTCTCATATCAAATACTCTGTCTCATAATACCAAACACACTGTTTGATAATACCAAATACATTGTCTCATAATACCACACAATGTCTAATAATACTGTGTACAAAACACACTGTCTCATAATACTGTCTCATAATACAAAACACACTGTCTCATAATACTGTGTTTTAATACAAAAGACCCTGTCTCAAAATACTGTGTTATAATACAAAACACCCTGTCTCAAAATACTGTGTTATAATACAAAACACCCTGTCTCATAATACTCTGTGTCATGATACAAAACACCCTGTCTCATAATACTCTGTGTCATAATACAAAACACCCTGTCTCAAAATACTCTGTGTCATAATACAAAACACCCTGTCTCATAATACACTGTCTCATAATACTGTGATATAATACAAAACACCCTGTCTCATAATACTGTTATAATACAAAACACCCTGTCTCATAATACTCTGTGTCATGATACAAAACACCCTGTCTCATAATACTCTGTGTCATAATACAAAACACCCTGTCTCAAAATACTCTGTGTCATAATACAAAACACCCTGTCTCATAATACACTGTCTCATAATACTGTGATATAATACAAAACACCCTGTCTCATAATACTGTTATAATACAAAACACCCTGTCTCATAATACTGTTATAATACAAAACACCCTGTCTCATAATACACTGTGTCATAATACAAAACACCCTGTCTCATAATACACTGTGTCATAATACAAAACACCCTGTCTCAAAATACTGTGTGTCATAATACAAAACATCCTGTCTCATAATACTGTGTGTCATAATACAAAACATCCTGTCTCATAATACTGTGTTATAATACAAAACACCCTGTCTCATAATACACTGTCTCTTTATACCAAACATACTGGCCTGTATGACCAATGGCCCAAAATCTGCCTACCTGAATATTCAACCCTACAACTACACCTGCCTGAACTTTTGATAATTTGACACGGACTGTGTTTTGGTGGGTAATGACTTCCTCACCTGTTTGTTTGGCTGTGAGGGTGACTGTGCTCTCTTTAGGCTGAACCGGAGCCATTCTTGATCTCCACACACCGCAGCCTGAAATATATCACCTGCCGGGGGCGCCCTCTGCAGCCAGTGGTCCTTCTGAGGAGCCAGACTGCTCAGACAGAGGATGTGGAAGACATAATATTCCTCAATAAAGTTTGTTATAAAAAGGAAAGACAGAAGAAGCTCTTTATAGTGGTAACCATTTCATTTGCTACCCAAACCACCGGTGACCCTACACGAGTCTTGTGAGCTGATAACGGTAACCTCGCGCTAAATCTCAACAAAAAGTTTTATTTTTGCCTTACAGCGCCCTGAGTGGACATCTCCATTAATGGATTATAACAATAAGCTTTAGGCCAAAACCTGATCACAAAACTATCCTAAACCGATGCCCCAGGTTTTATGAAGCATATCCACAATCTTTTTTTTTTTCATGAAATAACCTTCTGAGCTTTTGCACTCATTAAACGTTTCAAATGACACCACCACTGTAAACAATGCTGACCCGGGAAGTTTATCTGGAATGTACATTTCACATCAAACCGCTCTGAATGACTTTGTTTGCATCGTAATTATTTAAATATGCGGATATTTAAATGGGGATTCCCATTTACACTATTTATTTGAACTAAAGGTTACAGTAAAATGAGTGTATATATGTTAGCAAAGAGAGCTAAGAAGGATAACTTACCTCACGCCTGCCATGAGCTGTTTGTTGACGGATTTCACTGTTGCCATAGCGACTCTCCCTCCAGAGCGACAAGGCGAAGTTCGCCTGTTTCTAGCCCTTTTCTATTAAGTACCATTACTAACTGTATAAAATAAACATTAACCAATACAACCATTAATCTACAGAGGTAGATATTTTAGACTCTATAGAGTCCAAACTCATAATCAAGTAAAATATTACTTCGCTAAAATGTCTCAAATAGAAGCGAAAGTGCCCCCCCCCCAACCCCGCCAAAAAAAAAGCCTTCTTTTCGTCTATCAGCATGGGAACTGAAGATTGTTAGCCTGCGTTCACTTGTTGATGCACTCTTGGTCTAATTAATAATAAAGCTCAAATATCAGGGGTGTGCCCAATCACCAGCAGTGCAGGTGCACCAACATAAACACAAAGGAATTGATGTATAAAATGTAAAAAAAAAAGCATTGCTCTCCTCACTCTAACGCTCATGAGAGTTCAAAATCTTACATAGGTACATGTAAACTAATGGGTAAATGTATTTACTGCCCACCTTTTCTCCCCAATAACTCACCAGATGCTCCAAGTCTTGATCTGCATGTTGGAGGTGCAGTTCATCAGTGAACTATTTAGTCTGTAGATGGCGCCATCAGGAGTCCCTCCCACTTCATCAGCTCTGTGGAGCAAGCACATTTCCCCCAGTGCCCCAGTGGTTCTGGAGTGTCCCTGTTCTGCATTATTTGGTGGAAACCCCTAAAAGAGTACTGCCTGACCTGAGGGAAGTTGTTCTTCAAGATGTAAATCTTTACTTTTCTCTACTCAGTCACACAATATTTCCTGTTTTTCACAGTTGGCATGGAAGGTATATAATTCTAGGCCTGTTTTTAGTCAATCTTTTGACTTATCCTTCAAACTTTGCTGTTATTTCTTTGCTTAGTCATAAAGATTTTTTGGTGCAAGCCATTTTTGTGTGCACTGCCTTGTTGGCTTGGCTTTGCATGCTTAATGCTTCTGACTACGGCTACTGTGCACAAATATGTATCATAAGCCTCAGGGCGTGCTGGAGAGCGATCAATATTTATTGATCAGTTTTCCCATAGGGAGTGGCGCCTTTCTAGATAGGCAGAAAGCGTGAGTGGAGATGATATGGATCACGGTTATTTTCTCCATGTCTCTGTCAAGCGTGAACAGTCAATGCGTTAATTAGTTGGGAAGTATCAAATGGCGAATATTGACTGTGTGAACTCTTGAACTGGGAGAGACTGAGCCACATCGACAGAGATAATTTCCAAAACTGTTTATGTTCAATTGTCAGTTATTAGTTTGATTGTGGAAGTGATTATTTGTATTGTAAACTTAAGTTGCAACTTATTATGTCTCGTTTCGTTTACAGCCTGTTCCACTCAACTCAAAATGCACTATGAACTTTTGAACTGGAAATGCTGCAGTGTACTAATACCAGGAAGACATGTGCGGGGGTCAGTAATAGCTTGTGTAAGTGCACAACAACCCCTACAGACAGTGTCCCATCTCTGGTCTTTCTCTACCCTTGATCGTCACCATGGGGTCATGTGTAGTTCCAACATAAGCTCTGAGCCTAGCTCTGGGTTGGGGCCTTCTCTGTGCTCTTGACTGTCTTGGTTCCAGTACTTTCTGATGAATCTGAGATCCCAAAGAAACATTAAGCTGACCTGAGGTCAGAAAGCGAAGGGAATAAACCAGAGGCAGTGAAATGAAAGATTACAGATGAGATGACAATGGCTTGTGAAGCCTGCTTAAGGCAGGCATGAAAATGAGATCATGGTGGCCTAGTGGCTCACCATTGGCTTAGCAGTCGACCAATGAGGGGCTTGTGGGCGGAGTTAGAATGCCAGCCAGTTCATGACTGACCAGTCAGAAAGTCACATTCAATATGAAGACAAACATAACAAAGGCCAGACATGCCTGGGGTCTGTCTCTCTCTCTCTCTACACATAAGTACATACATACTGCATGCCCTCATATACTCATATACTCTCACACTTCTTCCTTTTGCATGCACTGTAAGCACAGTCACATGAGGAGATGAGCTCCATGAATGTTCGTCACATGACGCAGAGGAGTAAGCTGGCAAAATATTCTGTCTCTTAATGGCAATCTCATTCGTGGTCAAAAGCTAAACCCGAGCTGAAGGATGACTGTTCTGTGAACCCTGGGAAAAAAATAGAGAGAGAGAGAGAGAGAGAGAGAGAGAGAGAGAGAGAGAGAGGGGAGGAGAGAGAGCAGAAGAGGCGTACAATCCTCTCAGCTCTTTCATATTTGATGAGCCACCTTGTGAGGACCTCAGGCTCTGGAGACTCCTGAGCTGTGTTAGTGTAAGTGCGCTGATGTCTCTCTCTTTCTCTCTCTGTCTTCCTCTCTCTTTCCTCTTAGCTCTCTTTCTCCTCTCCCTCTCTTTCTTTATCTTTTTTATCTCCTTTGATCGCTTTCCATCAGAAGCTTCTCTCTTCTCCTTTGTTTATGTGTCAGTTTCTCCCTCTTTTTCTCAATTTCCCTTTTTGCTTTCTATCTGCTCCTCTGTTCCTTCATCTCTCTCTCTCTCTCTCTCTCTCTCTCTCTCTCTCTCTCTCTCACTCTCGCTCTCTACTCAACCTTACACTAATGCACACTGGCACATTCTGCAGCTCCGAGTCACAGTGCGACCCGGCTGTGTGCACTGACCGCACCACGACCTCACGCACACACACACTGCACTGTACGGGAGGGAGGGAGGGAGGGAGGAGGGAAGAAGAGTGGAAACAGCGAGAAAGGGATGCAGAGAGACAAAGATGCAATGCAAGAAGAGAACGAAAAGAGGAAAAGTCATATATTTTTCTACAGTCTAGATAGTTACATCTTGTACTTGCACTCATTGGCCATTTTATCAGGTAAACCCAGGGCTGTTTCTTGTCATCCCCTCCCTGAGCTGCACGAGGCCCCCTTGTGTAAGTCATTTTTTTGAGTCATGAAATTGGCAGGACAATATCTGACGAAGACAGAAGAAATAATGTACATGCTACTAAGACACACATTGTAGTTTATTTAGTTGTAGTCATTATTTCATTATTTTAATTATATAGATAGTTTAGATCTATCTGTATTCCCCCACCAGGCCACTGCTGACCAGATATTGTTTGGGTGGAGGACCATTTTCAGCACTGACAAGGTTGTGGGTGCCCTGCATTTTTTTAGTCTTTTCCTGCTCTGACACATTGTGCTCAGTGGCGGTCATGGTTTGATATTGCATTGATTTCCATTAGACCAGCCTCTATCGATTATATTAGTCATCGAGTAAAAGCTGTTTTTCTTTTTTGACAAGTCATAAGAGATTAACACCAATGAAATGATCAAAACAGGCTTAAATGAATAATAACAAACCATGCTGAGCGATTCCAAAATACTTAAAGACACTTCATTAAAATACATACATAACAGGGTGTGTCTTTCAGGATTCTTACTAAGGGAGACGGGTAGGAGAATTTTAAATATGCATTATCATCATGCAATTTCATAACTACGTCACTAAATACTGATATTTTTGTGACAGCCGTAATTTCCACCATGGAGGTCTATGGAGTCTTTAAACCCTGAAGTGACGTACAGGCCGCAGGAGGACAGTCATTAGTATTATGGTCCTGCTGCAGTCACACTGATATGTGTTATTGTAAGTAAATTATGTATGTAATGACTAAAACTGATGGTGCCCCCTCCCTTTCCCCTCACTGCATCCCCTCACTTTCTGAGATGTGTCTTCTTTCAGAGTGCAGAGCAAGCATCCCATCTGTGCTCCTCTGTTTTTTTCATCCATGATGTTCCCCATGGAGCCATGCCCATCACAAGTGGGGGTGTTTATCAGACAGACTTTAAAGTAAGAGTTCTGACTAGAGCTCTGTGCTAAAGGGTAGATTGGATTATCCTCTATGTGTAAGCATAGACAGGTTAATGAAATAGAGAGTGAGGGATTATTTTTGTTAAAGACACTTCTTATCGTTATATTACATAAAGCTTAGCTTCAGGAGAAGTTGCCCCTTAAACATTTTGCATTCTTTCAAAATTTGAAGTTTCTCAATCTTTCTTTTCAGTTATGGGAAAAATATTTACAAAGGTTTTATTAACATAAAACAGCTATTTGTTAATACCAATGTGTGTATTTTGCTTCAACACTCAGCTTCAAGTTCGACAAGGTGTGCTTCTTGCTGTGCATGGCAGATTTCGCCTAAATAATGACCTGACAATTGTCATATCCAAACTGACTGTCTTTAATATTGTTGCTGTTGGAACAAATTCTTATATCTCTGTTTTTGCCAATGAATTAACTAATAGAAATGGTCCAAAAAAATCTTGTTCCATTAACATACATTCATTGTTTTTGTTCTCCTGTAAAAGTACCATTTTGGAGATACAAGGTCATGACAGTGATGATGAATTAAGTTTGAAAAGCTTCATGTTCCCAAACTTTTAACAGGCAGCATAGTCCTGAACAAAGCTGGAAGTAAATAAACAGAGAGATAGAAAAAAAATTGACAGATGGAAAGATGGAATATAAACTCTCAAATAGAGAACCGTTTGTGTAAACTATCACACTTTGTGTACAGCCTTCTAACCTGCAGGCTCAGGAGAGTGTCATGTTAACTGAAGGACGCTCACTCACTCTCTGTCATCAATCAGCTTATGCCAATGCCTGTCAGGTCCCGAGTCTGAGCCGCTCAGAAAACCAAGCTGATGGGGCCATATGTGAACATGCTTTATTTGTAGAAAAGAATAGATGAAGATAATTAAAATGATAGTTGGAAAATGAAATGTACACACTTTTGCACTTACTAAATCTTACTTACTTGGAAAAAATTAAGGACAATATTCAGGCTTTAATGTAATCTCTACTACTGTTTTTTTTGCTGTGCACTGTACTTTTATGTTTATAAATAAAAATGACAAAGTGTTAGAAACCACATGAACCAGTCTATTAGGTATTCACTTGTACAATGCTAATTGGTGGGATTTAAAAATAATGTTTCTTAATAAGTAATTGCAATGATAGGTAAAGGATAGGTGTGTAAAGGGCAAAGCCGAAAACCATAACTGAATGCCCATGAACTTCAACCCCTGAGATGGCATTGCTTTG